TCATCCATTGGGCGTTTTTCCTTCGTGCCAATTGCGAAAGCATTTCCCCAGCCATTTCCTCCGGATAAGAACCGGGGAGATCTCCCAAACCAAAATATATATCTTCAAAAGAAACTTCCCCCCGACCTAAAATGGAGGGAGGGTCGTCCTGATTAAGGCCTACTGCTTCAAATGACGAGTTAAGAGCCTCATCGACTTCAACTTCTAAAGCAGACTAGCTCGGTTGTTCAGCGATCTCCTCGGCTACTGGCTCTTTGGCTTGGTCCGAATCAGAAGCTTCGAAACCGATCTACCTAAGACTTTTAAAGCGAGAGAAGATGAGAGCCGTGAGATATTTTTCGCCACGTGGAATCAAGATGTTTTTTGCGGCCGAGAATGTTGTATGAGTTGGCTCATTCCTCAGAAGTATATGGGCGACTCTCCCCTGCTTCTGGATATTGGGACGGCCAAAAAAATGGAGTGCAGTTTTGATTTCCACAAGAACCGCGTCGTCAACCAAAACCAGAACTTTCTTCAAATGGTTGCCTACACAAATAAAAAGATTACTTAGAGAGAAAGTCGAGTAAACGAAGATTAGACAAGCAAAAGAAGCTACATGGCAACCTGGTTCGCCTCTCCGTCTAGGTATAGGGTCTAAGCGGTCTTTGCCCTCGCCGAATTTTCAGTTACCTTAGACAATGACCATTACATCATCAACCCGCTTGCCAGAGCTGGCAAGCATAGTTACCAAGTGATGATCAGTGTCCTTGGCCCTGAGAAAATAGTGCCCTTGCTGACCGGAGGATTTGGCCAAAGCATAACAGTGTCAAATAGCGGGAATGCCAAGGTTGATCCTAAGGCGCCAGTTTAACTCTATGATCCCCATTACGATTCGGAAAAAGTTTACATTTGGTTGGGAAGGAATCAAACCCCAATGACAAAGGACAGCTTAAGAAATGGGTGTAGGGGAAAATGGACCCCGCCCTCTGCAATTGACAAAAGAGGAAAGATGATTGTACTCTCATCAGCCCTCTCCATATCAAGAGTGTTTTCCGTCACGAAGGATAAATGGACATCATCAGGGATACAAAAATGGTGTCGAAACCTAGTAATGCGATCCGCAGAAAGAAGGTCTTTTAAATGCTTAGCCATCCTAGCAAGTCTAAGGAGTACGCTAAACTGAAAATAAACAAGGAAATAGGATTCAATAAGAAAAGGAAAAAGAACTTACAAGAAGCAGAGGAGAAAATGAGAGGCGGAAGGAAGTTGCAGAGGACGCAAGACGGAGTAGGTATATCGACTGACAGTCCAGGAGATTCGAATATTCAAAAAGCATGCACTCAAAGAGACAACAAAGTCTCAAATCATAATAAATGAAGAAAGCGTACGAAGAGGCGGGAATATGTAATAGTGCTTAGAAAACGTGTGCTCTGACACACGTTGAGATAAGTTTAGCCGCCGTCCCTCTGGATTCTCAAACTCGAGTAAATATGCCGTATGAAACCAAACATGCCGAATAACAGAAGTTAACAGGATGTTTGGGGGGCAATTGTGGGAGCCGAATAACGGCGTTCAATAAGGCCGAGTATCTGGATGAAGATGGCTCAGGAAGGAGAATATATCCGGCTCTGATCTAGTTGGTCGACCATAAAGTTGAATATTATAACCGGCATTTTAACCAACCGAACAAAGGCCGAATAAATAAGCGTGCAATGGACCAAAGGTGGGCCCATAAAACATAAGGCCCAAAAGAAGAAGATATAAATATGAGAATATCAGCCAAGGAGAAGTATGTGAGAATTATTACGCTTAACTTAAGATACAAGTAACTAAGAGAGCATACACTGACTTAACCGTCGGAGTGCTAATTCTGGCACCCCCGACCGGAGTGTTTATTCCTTTTCAAGTTGTTAGCTGAAGATCTTGAGCGTCCCAGTGGATCAAAAGAATATTTCCAAGCCACATCCCCACATAAACAAATATTAATCAAAAAAACCAAAAGTCACTTTTTATTAACTTTCCAAATCATTTGTCTAAAAAAGCTAAAAGCTTAGTTAAAAGTTGAAAAATCACTTTTTACCATCTTCCCAAATAGGCCTTTGTAATTTTAAAACATAACGGTGAATTAAGAAATTGTTAACCCATTAAAAAAACTTATTGAGATTATTTCTCTCAAAGATTCTAAAACCCGATTATTTTAATTCAAGCAGTTCATCATGGTGAGTTTTCATTACTTAGAATGAAGTTACTTCCAAGTCTGAAGCCATATTTCAATGCTGCTGTTTAATCTGGCTAGGTCAGAAATTGGATAATCCAATTCAATTACTTACTAGTTCTTTCAGACAATCAGATCAATTTCACCTTACAATATTCAGACCAATCCAATATTCATTGCAGGCTAACGAAGGCTATTTTCACAAGTAAAGACATTAGTGGGAGGGCCTCACAAGGATGCAAACCGATTCCTTGAGTGATGTGCACAACGATATGAATTGAGCAAATGTCGACCACCAATAATAATTATTGGAAATTTATAACCTCTTGAACACATGAAAACGCAGAACTAGTTCCGAATACAAATGGAAAGGTGGGGAAATTCTATTTTTACATACTTACTTATCTTAGTGCATATCATTTCTCAATACACATGCTTAGTACTTTAATTATTAATTATTATTCTCATTTCACACACTAAATATTCCAATCATACCCTTAACTCATATCTTGTACACACACCACCTCAATCTACTTTTCACACACTCTCAAATCAATCTAGCTCCTCTCATGGAGTCGATGAACAATTCGTTCAAGGCCAAATCGATAGGGTAGATCTATAATCGAGAGTAAATTCTGATCAAGAGGAAATTGAAGTTCTAAGAAAAAGTAACTTTGAACCCAAAAGAATTCCATCTACATTATCTTCATTAATCTCTATCATAAAACCCATCTTTTTATTTTCCAAACGAGCTCTAGTATTTCTATTTGCAAGTTGATTAGTTGAATGAAATCCCATCTAGGTCTTTGCTTTAAGATGTTCAATTTGTATTTTTGTTTCATTATGATAACGATTTGGTAGTTCATATATAATAAAAATGTTAGATTTAGCGAATTAAAAATGTTGAAACCTTTTCTCTTCCTCTTGCAGAGTTATCTTGGAAATTACAATACAAATTTGAAATCGCCCACGTGAACTACCAAATCATTACCCTATGAACTACCAAATAATTTCAAAATCACAACCCTTTCTTCTCAATTAAGGTTTGGTTTTTAAGGTTTAGTTCATAAGAATTTACTGTAAAATGTTAGATTTAGCCAATTAAAAAATGATTTTTTTTTTCAAAAAAAAAAATTTAATATGTAATGAAAATTCCTCCATACAACCAAGAATTTTTAATTATTTTATAGTGCTTTTATTTTCGGTTGGATGTATAAATATGTGATCTTAAACTGTTTGGTTGATTAGAAAACTAATGCTAAGAAGAAAGAAAAAAATATCATAAAAATCTCCTAATCTATTTTGTTTTCTATTTTTTTGTCTAAAATGAAGGGATTAGGGTTTAGTTTTTTTTTTTATTAAAAGATGTGCACTTTTGTTTTTAAAAGATGTGTATAGGAAATAATTTCATATAATATTATGGGTGTGTTTTGATGTCTATTATGGTCGTTTTACTTTAAGATATAATTATCATTAAAATAATGATTCATTAGGTGTGTACATTGAGATTAGGAATGGCAATGGGGCGAAGCGGGGCCGGGGATCACTCCTCGTCCCCGATCCCCGATGGTAAAAAATTTCCCTGCCCCGATCCCCGACGGGGAACCTGTCACCGTCCCTATCCCCCCCTAACGGGGATCGGGTTTCCCCGACCCTGAAAATTCCCCGCCCCAACCTGTTTCAACATCATCAACTTTTAACAACAACAAAATCATCAAGAACATCATAAAAAAATCATGAGATCTGTGTGTCATCAAACAGATCTGAGTGTGCATCATCAATCAAGAACATCATCAACATGCATCAACTACCAAAAAAAAGAAAAGAAAAAGACAAATAGAGATGATCTGAGTTTGCATCATCAATCAACACAGATGTGTGTCATCAAACAGATCTGAGTCGGCGATGGTGACTACGACAAAGGTGGACCACAATGGCTGCGATCGGCGATAGTAACTGCGACGAAGGGAGACGACGATGGCTGCAATGGACGACAGCGATGGACAAAGGCGATGAATGACGAAGGTGGACAACAGTGGCTACGACGAACAACGGAGGAGGACGGCGGTGTGAGGCGACAGATGCGGTGGCACTGAGGGAGAGGAGAGGTACAAGAGTGAGAGAGAGAGAGAGAGAGAGAGAGAGAGAGAGACTCTGAGTGAGTGAGAGGGAGAGATAGAGATGAGAGGCGGTGAGAGGATGAGAACGAGAGAGAATAGAAGGAAGAGAGAGAGTGTGCACATATGAAATGCAAGAGAGAGAAAGACAGAAACAATACATAAAAAGTATATGTTATATATATATATATATATTAAGTCGGGGACAAACGGGACGGGGCCGGACCGAGGATTGAGCATTTATCACCGTCTCTGGCCCGAAATTGATCGGGGATTAATTTTTAAATACCATCCCCGCCCCGTCGGGGGTATTTTCAGGAAAAAATCATTCAAATCGGGATCGGGAGATCAGGTCTCCGTCAGGTCAGTTTCAAATTGCCATCTCTAATTGAGATAAGTAGACGTGTGGAAATAAAATTTCCCATAAATGAGAGAAAATTAACATTTTTCAAACAATCAAAAAGGCTACCCTTTGCCCTCATCTTGTAAATAAAATTTTCCTCCATGGGCCGTGGAGAAATCCAACACCACGTTTGGATCATAGATTTTAGATTTTTTAAGGGAAAAGAAAAACTAATTAGGGAATGAAGTGAAAGTTGCAATCATTTTCATTCCCCTAATAAATCCAAAATCAAAACAATGCACAAAGTTAAAAAAGCAAAGCAAGAATTTCTAGTGGAAAGACGTAATTTCAAGCAATAGGAAAAAGGCCTCATATTATTACTGAAAACCCCCCGTTTAGATTCGAATCGAAAACTCAATTTGCATAAACAAAACTTGCACAATATTGTATAACTGGTCTGTCAAATATTGGTTTCGTTTGAACAGCTCAAATTATTCCAAAAAACTCCCTAACCATGGATGGAACAGCACTAATCTTCATGGTAAGCCAGCAATTGTTGCCAAAGAAGCTCATTAAGCGGAGGCCATATGCCGAATCAAGTCAATCACGCGGTTGCTGCAACAACAAACAAATGTCAAATCAGTATTTTGTGGAATCAAAACAGGAACAGACGAATGAGATCTCCTAAAAGTACTGACTGACCTGTAACCCCATTCATTGTCATACCAAGAGACAAACTTTACAAAGTTTTCATTCAAAGCAATACCAGCCTTGGCATCAAAAATGCTTGACCTGCCAAAAGATCAATTTACAAAGTGAATTATGTATTGTTCAACTGCAACAACAGTAAATGAAACAAGACAGAAGGGGGGGAGATAAGTGTAAAAACTTCCTTACCTGCAATCACCAATGAAGTCAGTTGACACTACATCATCCTCAGTGTAACCAAGGATTCCCTTCATATTACCCTCAGACTCCTCCCTACAAAAATAATTACAAACCAAACAGGAGCATAGAATCAGATAATTCATTACATGGCAATAATAATGTTAAACCAGATATTTTTCTTGCAATTTTTACTTTATTTCTTTTCTTTGCTAGTACAAACCCCATAATAACAACTAGACAACAAAATATGGGTCTGGTTTAGTTTACTATTCAACTACAAATTGAGTATCTCAATTAGTTATTTTGTGAAGAAATTGAAAAGGAAAATTACTTGATAGCAGCTTTGATCTCATCATATGTAGCCTTCTTCTCAAGCCTTGCAGTGAGGTCAACCACAGAGACATCAACAGTGGGAACACGGAAAGCCATTCCAGTCAGCTTTCCATTTAGAGAGGGAAGAACTTTCCCAACAGCCTTCACGATGAATATCAAACATGTTAAAAAAAAACATGGTGACACATGATACAAACAGAAAATACTGACAGGAAATAAAAAGATAAATAGGATTCCATAAAATCCCCTCTGCAGGAAAACAGAACAACCAATCTCAATATCCTACTCTCCACGGCCTATGCAATATTTTTACCAAACAAACCCCAAGGGGTTGTCCTAGTGGATGCAACTTAGGGCTTACGAGTGTGCTCCCTTTAGGTCTCAGGTTCAACTCCCATTAAGAGCAATTTGCTCCTTAGGGCCACGTCCGCGGGCTAAGCTTTTGCCCGATCCACTTGGAGGGGCACTTTGCGTGAATCCCAGGATTAGTCGAAGTATGCATAAACTAACCCGGACACCCAATTATCAAAATATATATATATATACCGAATAGAGTTGTGCACAAGCATGCGACTGTTGATAAACTAAGTAAAATAAAATTGCAATTCGTTCCGTTGACACAAGTCATCTGGATACCTTGGCAGCTCCGGTACTGCTGGGGATAATGTTGAAAGAGGCAGCTCTTCCACCTCTCCAGTCCTTCATTGATGGACCATCAACAGTCTTTTGTGTGGCTGAAAAGAATCAAATTATAAGAACAAAAGTTCATGTTTCTCTAAAGAAAAGGGACAATAATTTATAAATAGTAAACACACCTGTAATTGAATGCACAGTGGTCATGAGACCCTCAACAATGCCAAATCTGTCGTGAATCACCTGTAAATATTTACATCCAACAAGCATAAGATAGCCCATATCAGTATTTTGTTATGATATAAACTTTAGATTCTCAGCGCCCCCAAGTAACTGAAACTGAATTAAAAACAACCTTTGCCAATGGAGCAAGACAGTTAGTAGTGCAACTAGCATTGGAAACAATATCAATATCTGGCTTGTAGTCCTTCTCATTGACACCCATAACAAACATGGGAGCATCCTTACTTGGAGCAGAAATGACAACCTCCTTTGCACCACCCTGGTGATTAAAAAAAAATCAAGAGCAATACTATCAACAAACCATGCCGTCATGAACATTTGCAAGCCAACAAAATAACAAACATTGCCCAATTGAGCATAACATGTCAAGTCAAAATTCATGAGTGGGGCATCGTCCCAGCACTGGTATTTTAGCCACAGAAGAAAACAGATTCAACATGCAACACTTCCATTTAAAAAAATAAAAGAACCAGAAATCAATATTGATGAAAGCAAGACAAATATATCTCTTCAACTATATCAGAGAAAGTATGCACACAAATCAAAATACCAATCCAGAAAGCAGAAAAATAAAGGCAAACCTTCAAATGGGCAGCAGCTTTGTCCTTATCAGTAAAAACTCCAGTGGACTCAACAACATATTCAGCTCCAGCTTCACCCCATGGGATCTCCTCTGGGTTCCTAAATAAAATCAAAACATAAATTATTAATAATCAAAGGGTGCCATTTTGAAAATAAAATGAAATATAAAGATAGCAAAATCAGCTTATAATACCTCATACCAAAGACTGCGACGGGTTTGTCACCAAAGAGAAGGGTCTTAGAATCCTGAACCTTAAGCTCATTTTTTTTCCATTGACCATGAACACTATCATACTTAAACATATAGGTCTGTACAACACAAAACCAAAATTAAGTTAGCTGAAGATGGATGTCCTAATGGATTTCATGGCCAAATGATGCCTTGTGGCCACTGTAGCAGATATCAAGGTTCAAAAATCCCATTGTCCGTGATACAATAGAAAGTAAAAAAACCAAAAAGGATATGCATTGCAAAGGGAAATGCACCATGCTTTGTTGCAGAAAGATATGAATCATATGAAAATTACAAGAGCAAAACAATTCATCTAAAAATTCACAGAATTTAGACCATTCCATAATATCAAGAGTCAAGACTAAGAGCTTGTATGGAAAGAAAAGGTTTTAGCCAAAAAGCCAATACAAAAAGTCAACTCATTCTCTCTATTTTTTACATATTTTTCATAAAAAGTCAAAAAGCTACTAAAAAGGCCAATTCCCATACGAACCCAAAATACCACATGTCAACCCCACACATTCTCTCTACACCTTTCATGAGTGTCTCTCCCTCTCTCTTAGACACTCCCATTTCTCTGTATTCATAAGCATATGTATGGATGGACCAAGGGGCAGCTAGGGCGACCAACCCCTAAAGTTTCGAAAACCCCTTTATTATAGTAGTGTTTGCAATAATATTTTCAAATTATATACATTTAGTCCTGCTACATCCCCTAATTGAGGCCTCCCAATTCCACATCCAATGACATGGCTAAGACCCATATAAAGCAATCCTACACTCCTCTCTCTGTCATCTTTAGCCCCTTCTAATTCCACATCATTAGGGGTGGAATTGGGGGTGCAAAATTAGGATGATGAATCAATTTTCATATAGGTTCGCCTCATAAGATTCCAAAAAAAATATAAAACAAATTTTTTTGGTAGCATAGACATTCTAGTATCCTGCATCCATCCGTGTGCATGTGCATGAAATAAAGTGTACATTGATTGACTCTTGATTTAGCATGATTTTGTTGCGTTCACAATAGTTTCTTTGCATCATAAGCTTGGATGCAACAAATTCTATAACAAAACTAACAATTCCAATCTACGCACACTGATAGCTTGAAGGAGCAAGTTCCTTGAATATCTACATATATAAATGAAATTGACTGCATTTATCCAAACAAATAGTGAGAGAACTTCATTTGTTACATGCAAAAACATCACAGCTATGTTTCTATCCTAACAAATTGAATGAATGCACCAAAAACATTTGCAAAATCACATTTCACACATATCATACTCGTTTTCATAAGTTCCTCAGAAACTTCTTTCACCATTGATCCACACTAAAAAAAAACATGGATCGCATTATTCAGATCAGAGGTTTGATTTGAAGGCGTCCGATTGATAAATCAAAGGATCGAAAATAGGAAGAACGACAAAAAAAACACACACACACACAATCATGAACAGTACTGGTAAAATAAAATGCAAATGAAACGATGTTTGCTTTTACCATGTAATCGGTGGTGATGAATGGATCATTAACAGCGACGAGTTCAATATCATCGCTCTGAAGAGCCACTCTAGCCACCAAACGCCCAATCCTTCCGAATCCTAAAAACATCACCACAAACACGCACAAAAACTCAGATCAAAATCAACTGAAAAACCTGATGAGAAGATGACATTACCGTTGATTCCAATCTTGATTTTGCCCATGATGTTCTCAAGCAAGAGTAACGATGAAAGACAGAGAGTGAAGCGGATTTAGAACTAGGGTTACAGTGAGTATGCATGTGATGGTGTATATATATATATATATGAGGGGATTGGGGTTGGGGCGTTAGAAAAGGAAAGGAGGGAACGTGAGGCGGATTTGTCCATGGAGATCGGATCGGAGAGCGTGAAGACTGGGTCGGAAGTGGCCGAATCACCGTTGATTTCGAAGACTTCTGTCTCACGAAACTCCATCTTGTCCACCAAATTACGGTTTTGTTTCTATTTTTCTTTTTTATTAGGTAATTAATGAACGGATTTAGAATGAGTAAAAAGGTAAATTTACTTGGACGAGGATAGATTGCCCCTTTGGATTTGGACTCGTTCCCGCCTTCCCTTTCTTTAAATTTAAGTCGCTGAGCCCAACCATAGCAATGTCCTTGTTTGGTAAAGTTGTAGAAAAATAATTTATAGTTGTGAATATAAATTGTTAATTTATTTGGTACAGTTATAAAATTATGAATTTAAACAGTAGAGTAGTGTTTGATTAATAAGTTATAAAATAATTTTTTACTGTATAATTGTTATTTTTATCCTTATATGATATAAAAATGATTATTTTGTCATTTTTCTCAGTTTTAGTTTTCATTAATAAAAGTTAATACAATTAGTATTAATTAATATAAAAATTGATACATTTGCTAAAAATGAATGGAATTATTATTGTCACAATTATTTTTCGTTATAAATTAATTAGTATTAATTAATTGCTTAATTAGTATCAATTAATACTAAAATTATTAATTAGTATCAATTAATGGCTTAATTAGTCTCAATTAATACTAAAATTAATTTAAGTATCCTGACCAACTTTTTGAGATAAGCTGAGAAATAACTTGATTTAAGCTATGGTTAACTTAAATTGCACTAAACACAATATTTTAACTTAAATTAAACTAAAAGCTAAAATAAACAGCTTGTAAGCTCTACCAAACAAGCTTAATATCTTATATTAATCAAATTAATCTTTTTAATGATTTTTTTATTAGTTTTTTAAAATTTTTAATAAAAAATAATAATAATTTTTTATAAATGTGTAGACTAGTAATTTTATAATTTTTTGCGAAAAAATATACAGAATAATAAAGAAAAACGAAATTAAAATTTTTTAAGAGGTTTAAAAAGCCAAATAGTCAACATTTTTTTTTTGCTTATTTTGGATTTTTTTTTTAGAATTTTCAAAAATATATATTTTTAAAATTCATCTACACAAGAGGACCAAAAAAAATACTATAAAAATTTGCCATAATTTTTTTAAAAAAAAAAAAAAACACTAAAGACAAAATTAGGACAAAAGTGTTATTTAGGAATATCCAAACAACCACTCAATCGATAAACGTGTGCCCAATCAATTTTTTTTGTTTTATGTAGAATATCTTGAGCCAACTTTCACGAATCAAACTTAGTCACTATAGTCCGAACAAGCCTTTCGAAACAAATTTTCATGTGATCCATCACCTCAAGCGGTTTTATGTTGGTTGATCTGAAATCTAAAAAAAACAGACCCTAAACCTCCCCACTCAAGCCATTAAGCCGACCCCTTCAGATTGTGCCCAACCAATCTACTAACAAAGAAATTAGAGAACCTTTGCGTGCCCAATTGTTTTTTGTAGCTCACAGCCTCAGTAGTGGCTTAGGTAAGAAACAAAATTACCATGAAATGCACCCAACAAAGGAAATACAAGACACCCACCTAAGAACCACATCGCATATATTCATGATATTAACACAGATGGTATGGAATTTACAGCATAGGAGAGAGAGAGAGGGAGAGAGAGAGAGAGAGAACAGTTCATGAGATTTGAAGGAGGCAAAAAAGAGCATAAAACCAATTTTAAGGAATGAATTTAAGCCCTTTGCTCCAAGACTAGATGACAAAGCTTTAGTCACCCAGAAGAAGTCTCACCCCTTGGTACATTGCACCAGGCCTAAGATCATCCAAATTATCAAAGGTTCTATACCCGTTTATCTCCCTCAAACCTATAAAGCCATTACGACTGAGAAAATCCCGAAATTCATCTTCAGTATACAGAGTTTTGTCTTCGGCACGAACTGCCATGCTGTTAGACTCATCATACAGGCATACTTTTATCAAGATTCCTGCCAAACAGTGAGGAAAAAATATCTCTTAGCAAAATCACTACTAGAAAAGTTCCGGTCGTGTTTTGAAAAGCTGTACATTTTACACATACCTTCATCAAGGTGAAGAGTGTAATTGCCCAAAGGCATGTCTCTGTCAAGACTCCGAATGACATTATCCTCATCCTCCAACCAAAATGCCCGTTTAGTTCGTAAGCGAAAAGCAGACTTGATTGCCTCCTTTATTGCATCTGCAGTTCCATCAATACCAATCCTTCTAGTGTATTCACCCCACTTCACTGCTATGACCCTCCCACCATAAGCAGAGTTTCCCTCACCACCTGCCATGACATGCAAAAGGGAAAAGAAAAGAGAAGAAAAGAAGAGACTATAATTAAAATCGAATGTCATGCTTCAATCTGAATAGAGTGAGAATCCCAATTAAGTCAAAGCATCTAATGACTACTCCATAATAGACTCAGAAATATGCATGATAATAGATTCATTTGCTCATGTCCTGGCACGCATAATATTAGGTTGCCATTTACTCGTGCGACCTGGCGCTGACAAGCCAAAGTGGACAAGCGATTCATAACATAGATTATTCTGCTGTAAATGCAGGCATCAAGACTAAGATTAACAATTGGCTCCATGAAAATAAAGTGAGCTTTATTTACAAACAACATTCATATAGGTGAATACTGAAAAGTTCCAAGTTCCAAAGAAATGAAAGTGCACCATTTGATATCGCAGCAACATTAATAAAATATAAGTCCTCGTGATTCAAAAATATATGGGACTTGTTTACCCATTGAAAAATATTTTTCAATTACCACTAAAGTCATTATTTTTCCAAGTTGAATGACAACAAAAATAAAAATAAAAAAACAAAAAAAGGAAGATACTTTTGTGAAAATGATCAAGAAGAAGTAAATGTCTAAACATACTTTGCCAGAAAAAGTAAGATTTAAAGAGAAGTAAATTAGACAGATACCATTTCCAGGGGTTTCTCTCCAGTTCCAAGGGGGTACTCCACTGGCTGCAACTGCATCAGCTGTGGTAATGGCAAGCGGGTCACCATCATGATCTAAAGATCTTTCAAGGTTCACCGTTGACCGGCCACTAGCTAAACACAGAGCAAAACACAAGCCAGAAAAATTAGAGAAACACATGAACCAGTAGCGCAGCATATCAATTCAAAATTAAAAATTGCCAAAGAAATTATGCAACTTACCTACTACAAACCAAATGAAAGGAAAGGCTAAGTTTTAACATCTTGACATTAAACCATGTATAAGAGTGATATGATCATTGATCAAAATTACAAGATTAAATGCCATGCCAATTCACGACCAACTAGTGAGGTTTTTTTTGTAAGAAGCTAAAGAGTCACTGAATTTAATATAATAAAAAAATTATTAAACAGGTCCATAATGCACACAAGCTCCTATGGTCATAACTACTAAGATTAATGATCATCTTTATTGTTAAGACATATACTTTCTTACTCAATAAAGCATTAAATCTAAACTATTTGAAGTTTGTTATGGAAAAACTTAGAGCAATTGTTACTCAACTGTATAATACATTGTTCCTCCCAATGTACCCATGTTCATTGAATATGACAAGAACAAGAGTATGAGATATGTTTCCAAAACCTGTATAATATTTAGATGCATCTACATACCCATACTCAACTTTTGGATACATATCTCAATAACCAAATATTTAAATTTAGGAAGATTTGACAAACATTCATACCCAATACTTGTATCCTAGTACATGAAATATACATTAGATCTGCATTTTATTCATATTTGAGAGCCTAATCTTGTTTTGCAGAGATAGAGCCAATTTATAGGCTTCATCAAATCTAATCGCCATATGAAAACCTTCTAAACCACTCACTCCTGCCCAATATCGTAACTTAATAGGACTCAAGTATCAAATCAGTAGGAGTCCTACAAGAACAATATGCACGTTGTCTTTTTGCAAGTCCTAGCCCACATCAACTACGCTGCATCAGCTTCCTGATGGATTGAAGACAAAGGGACTGCGTATAAACTTTGTTCAAAAGGTATCATGAAGCCACTATTTGAATTAACAAACTTCATGAACCCAAAACACCACAATAAAAATGATCAAATCATACTTTTTCCCGGACATCAATTAACTTCATCAGCTGAAGATCCATGCATGCAATTTATTATTGCACTCTGAGAACTAAGCATGAAATGGAGACCAACTCTTAAACAAAATAATTGAAGATCAATGTCTTGTAAGAACTAGAAGTCCAAAGACCAATTCCTGAACACAGATAGACATTTTGACAACAAATTATAAACCCACCACTACATCAAGCAGCTGCATTCCAATTCACACAAAAATTATGGGATTAAAACAAGCCTAGGTATCAAAGTGGAGTAGTAGACAATTAAAAAAATACACAGAGTGGTAGAAACAATACATCCTCTACTCTTTAGCAGATTCAGGGTAAAATTGAATATTAACTTTTGTTATATAATGATAGACATTCATTTTGGCATACAAGTAATCCATGAATGTTAGCCATAATATGGTAATAAGGTCTTGACATAGACGTGATGTTCCCATGATGAATCAATCGATTTAATGTGGGCATCACTCTTAGGAAGATACTTTTCCAACTCCTGGCAGGGTTAGTGAGTTGTGTAATAGGCAACCATTTCGTGTGGTTGGGGTCAACATGTTAATATCTGATTCTATAAATAAAACAATTAATCCTCAAATATGTAAAAGTTCATTTATTCCTTTTGGTGGAGTGGGGGGAAGAAAAAGGAAATCATTTTAGAAGGCAACAAATAAATGAGATGTGCACTGTTAACTTGATAAAAAAATTGTACCGAAATGCTATGATAAGTCGATTTGTAGCGAAGTACCTTCCACTGAACCAAATGGGATATTGCCATCCTCAAGACCTGAGAAAGAGTACCAGGCAGGAAATCATTTAGCAGAACAAACACTGATACCTTTGCAGGAGAGGCACAAAGCAATATACTTATAATAAATAAAAAATAAAAAAACCCAAACCAAAGGCACCCCTTTTATAAAACTCTGGAACAGTAAGAGCAAGAAATAGAAATGTCAACATAAACAGCTAATTTTCACATGTGATCACAAAATGAAACGGAGTAACCCAAAAGGCAGTGGGTAGTTATGTATTTGGTAGTTAACAACTTCTGTTAGAGCATCTAAAACCCTTCACCAATTTTTCGTCTAAATTTATTCAAAATTTGAGTAAAAAGCTAGATTTGATATAAGCTACTCCAATCCTTTCATCAAAATCTTTTAAAAATTCCCCTCTTCTCCAATGCTTTATATTTTCAAATTCAAATTTGACGAGTTCTCAATTTCATAAAAAAAATAAAAAAAATCTCTCCCTTGATTTGATGAAAGGATTGGAGATGGTTTTTTAGCATTTTAGGTGTTATTAAACATGCACAGATAGAAATTAGCTCAAAATGCAGAGTACATGTCTAGTTATAATCAAGAAAACATGAAGCCATCAAGTTCTTTTATCTCTTTCAGAAGCAAAATTTGCTTATTTTTTAAATGGAATGAGCCAGAGAAGTAACTCCAAAAATGGTAATCATGCAGTATACAATTGATTCTCCATACAAACATTGAATTTCCCAATTCGAAGTCTCAATCATTACAGATACCCACTTAACCCAAAGCAAAATTAAACTAGAGAGAAATAATTACCTTTATCAGAAAACTGAATAAACGAATCAATTTTTGAAGAACTTGGACCCTTATACAGACCATTCTTGCCCCTATCTCTGAGTAAGTCCTCGAGCTCCTTGTAATACAACATTTTGGCCGAAGCACTAGTCTTATCTAGGTGCTTAGCCTTCTTGAACTCCTTCAACAGGTTCCTCCACTTGTCTGTACACATAGTCGCCGATCGATCGAACCCTTTGTCTCTCATCTTGGCCGAGATCTGTTCCCACAAGTGTTTGTTCGACTTGGAAGTGTTGAAGAAACCATCAACATCGCGGCGAAAACTGATCAGACTCCGAGTCTCTTCCTGGACCCAAGTCTCCGCTCTCTTCTTCGGAGCTTTCACTTCGAGGTCTTCTCCGCTACTGTCGCCGAGAATCATCTGTTGCTGCTGCTGGTGATGGTGATGGTGATTGTGATGTTGATGGTGAGGTTGTAAGTCGCCATTGGAGGAGACTTCGATCACCATGTCTCTGTCTCTCCTTCTTTGTAGAAGTGAATCGGAAGAGGCTTCTCTGAACAAATCACATGTCAATCAGTCATATATGAACATGAAACCCTAAACTCTAATTATTATTACAGTCTAAAGATCTGAAAACAGAAATACATACAGAGAATTAGGGTTTACGAGAGGAGAACTGGGGATGAACTGGGGAGTCTCTGGCAGAGACTGGGGAGTGGGGATTCTGTCTCTGCCAGAAGAGATGAGAAGAGGAGAGAATTCATTCATCAGGGATAATCGTCGTACACGTGGCAATGGATATCGTGTGATCGAGTAATATAGGGCGTTGATATGTTGTGTGTGTGTTTGTGATGGTTTTGTATTGGAGCAATGAGCCTTTTTTTGTGGGGCTATATCAATGGAAGGGATCGTATGTAACACACAGGTAAATCTTTTGCGTACTAACGAAGTCCAACACCGCAGGGTTGTGATGGTCGCATCTTCTATAATTCTAATTAGGGGTTGTTTGGGATATCTTAAATAAGTGTATTTTTTATTTTTTTAGACTAAAAAATTAAAAAAGACAATATAAATGTTTAAGTTAACTTTTTAATTTTTTATGAAAAAATATGTAATAAAAAATTATAAAAATTGATTTGTAAGAGAAAATTATGATTACGAGTTATACAGATATAATTATTGACTTTTAATGAATAATATTAATTTTTTAATTTTTGAAATAACTTTTTAACTTTTCTGAGCATCCCAAACTTAACCTTAGCATCATAGGATCAATTTTTTTAAGGCAAAATTCAACCAAATCTGATGCTGATGTGGTGTGGTGGCACATGTGCAGCATTCCTTAGTATCCAATTTTCCATATATTTGTTTTGTAATGTGAAAAATTCTAAGAGATTTGTTAAAATTTTTATATGAGTACAGCACTCTCGTGAATTAAAAAGTTTGATAAAAAATTTAATAATTTTTTTAAAAAATTTAGTATTTTTCATATTTCTTTATAAGTGCATCGGTACACATTAATAGAACCTAAATTTAGCTATATATTCACAACATTTTTTATATAAATTTGACAAATAAAAAAGACTTGCACCAAATACAGAAAAGCTTGCACCATATACCAAGTTTTAACAAGTGACAACCGAAATACAAACCAAAAAAAAAAAAAAAAAGCAATTATATACGTAATTTCCACAATTACTATTTTCTCATCCTTCTAAAGAAAACAAGGAAAAGCTAAGCAGAGTCCAAACTGTGAATTTTCTTCATTCCGTATAACTTAATTCAGACATTCAAAATACAAAACAGATGTACTTCCAAAACCCAAAAACAAAAACAAAAACAAAAAACAAAAAACAAAAAAAGAAGACCACGAAAGAAGATTATCCATTATACACATACATGACACCTTCATTAGCCACCACTTTATTTCTTCCATCTAATCTGACAACTAAACTGACTCACATGAGCAAAACAGGCCCAGAGATCCTCTATCTTGAGATTTTGATACAATCCAATGACAGTGAATGAATTGGGAACAAAGGGACGTGGATGTCTGGGAACAAAGGATCCTTGGCCAGCAAAACAGATTATTATTAACACCAAACGCCTAGGCACCATTACTCATACTTGACACCATTTCACTAGCCACCAGTTTATCTATAATCCTTTGAAGTGCAGAAGCACTCAGCCCACATTTACTGTCATCGAAGCAGGATCGACCTTCTTCAGCTGCTTTGCATAGCCGAGGATCCAAAGGCACCTTTCCAAGGAAAGGAACACCCATTTCGCTACACATTTTTGCAGCACCGCCACCACTACTATCAAACACTTCAGCACAACCGACCAAATCTAGCATTTCCGGTGCCTTCTCTCTCATACACTTTATAGCCCATTCTGTGACGTCTCTTTGTTCGCCTGTTTCTGTCACCTTCATAAATTTGAAATCTGACACCGGTTGGCATAAGCCACTCATGTTCTCAACAACACCAAGAACTTGAAGTCCAACCTTCTTGCAGAAACTCACTTCTTTCCTGACATCAATCAAAGAAACCTGTTGTGGGGTGGTGACTATTATCGCACCGTCAATCCCAGTTGCTTGGAGAAATTGGACAATTGAGATGTGCTCGTCTGAGGTCCCAGGTGGGGCATCGACTACTAGAAAATCGAGCTCGCCCCAGTAAACATCCTTGAGGAATTGTTTGATGATACCGTTCTTGCGTGGGCCTCTCCATATGACGGCCTCGTCTGGGTTGGGCAGCATGAAGCCAATGGACATAACCCCAAGGTTGGACTCAACATAGACCGGAGACCATCCAAGGTTGCTCTGGTGGATTTCCTGGCCTTCTAGACCAAGCATCTTTGGGATGCTTGGGCCACAAATATCAATATCAAGGAGACCCACCTGAAAATCTTTAGCAGCTAGGGCAAATGCAAGTTGAGCAGAGAATGTGCTCTTCCCAACTCCACCCTTCCCAGATAAAACGAGTATTTTATGCTTCACAGTTGCCATTCGTTCTGCAATCCCGACTAAGTCTGCAAAAAAGCAGAACAAAGAAGAACAATACGACATAAGATATCAGGATTTTTTTTTCTTTCCCTGATGCATGTAGTAAGTTCCTATAGACTGCTTTCAAAATGCACATTAAAAATTTACGCTGAGAACAAGAAGCTGTGTCAATTTAAGATATACTGACCATCAAAGCCAGGCAACAAAGATGCATTTCCTGTGACATGTTACTGGCAATAATAAACCAAAAAGAAGCCAATGCAAAAAAGAGTTTATGCATCTTAAATCATATCCAATAATTGACAGTTTTGCAATTTTCTTTCCTCCCTTTCTCTTTTGTCAATGCAAGATAAGAGAAAAGGAGAAACAATCAATCTTACCAAACAAAAAAGCTAATACATTAGTGATTTACATTTTGGAGTGCATATGATACACTTTTATTCCAAAACAGTAAATTTAGTCATTGAATTTCTTTTTTTCTAAAAGAATAAAAGAAGACATAATACTCTTTTAGAAATGTATTTCACATGATTAATTTGAAGAATAAATAATCTACATCTTGTTAGATATTTGATTGTTAAAAAGAAAATTGCTCTTAAAGAACTTCTAATAGTGTAATCTATATAAATCTACCCATACCATAATGAATTTTAGAGCATTTGCCATTCCCATTTTCGTTCCACATACCCAAAAAAAAGATCCCAATCAGGTGAGATTAACTACATGAATCCTAATTATTATTTTCTTAACGCACATAAAAGGATATCTACTAAACTTGGAAAATGAATTCATAGAAAATCCAATGCATTGAGGGAAGAAAATAGACAATAAGTTGCACCATTTCTCACAATTTATTACCTAATTTGTAAACCAAACATGAGAAAGAGTTTCTTTTTCATCATTTCTTATAAGAGTAAATTACAAATATAAATTTGCTTAAAATACATACAAATTGCCCCTTCTGGACCCCCTTTCATAATTTTTTATTTGACAAAATTAACCCCCCCAAAAAAAATGAAATTTTTAACAACTCTTCTATATAATAATAAAATTATCTGAGTTGTTAATTGAAATATATTTTTAACAATATTAAAAATTATTAATTGAGTTAATGATTTACTCTTATATGAGAAACTTGAAGGGTGGGATGTAATTTGTAGAAGCAGATGAGGCAATTCATATATTAAGTAAACCCTTCATATAATTTATCATCAAAATCACTCAATCCGAACTTGATGTAAGAAAGAGAAAACTTTACAGAGGGAGAGAGGGAGAGGAACCTGGGTCAGGGCCTTTGGGAGCAGTAGCACAAATTTGCTGATTAGGGCAACCTTCACAGGCATCAGATTTTCCAGCAGATTCCGACTGGGGACCTGGGCAATCTGAAATCAAACGAAACCCCAAGTAAGTTTATATCAAAATAAAGAGAAGACGAATTGAATACAGAAATCATGATATAAAATCACAGACGTATTTCTGGAACACAAGGAGAGTATAAACAAAAGAATTACGTTCGTTGGCGTCTTCAGGGATTTCACCTCCGTTCTCCATTTCTTATCTTTGGCGTCTCTCTCTCTCTCTCAGAACATCTGATGAGGAGAGTATTCAGTTTTTTTGACCTAAGGCCGCCAAAACAGAGAGAAACGAATGAAGAGAGGAAAATTGCCTATATTTCTGGGGGATAATTGTAGGGGATAAACTCAGGCGGGTTACGTGGGATTGGGAGGTTGTTCAAATCCAATTCAGATATTTCTGGGGGATAATTGTAGGGGATAAACTCAGGCGGGTTACGTGGGATTGGGAGGTTGTTCAAATCCAATTCAGTTGTGCTGAGATATTGTCCAATCTTGAATTATAACCTGAGGTTGCATGTTGAAGCTCAGCTAGAATTAAATCTGAATTGTTTAAATTATAAATAAATATTTTTTTAATTATATTATTAAATTATTAAAATTTAATTCTATTTATATATATTAACTTTTCCAAACCCTAAAAAAATTTAAACTGGGTACAAGTTAATCGGATTGAGTCCACTCAAATTGCACTTTTAGATATTTCTGAAACGAAACGTCGTCGGATAGGGAATATACCACCGACTGTAATCCCACCATTGCATAATTAAAACCACAACGCCACGTGCTCGAAAATCAGACGTGTTTAGATCCTATTTTACACCACAATATACCCTGCGTGGTTTTGACTGATTTTCTACAAGTTAAGGTGGCGTTGGGTTTTGTTCTACAGTCATGTTTGTAAAATTATCATTTTTTTAGCTCTTAATCATTGATCTTATACTATATATTAACTAAAAATAGATTTTTAACCTCAAGTCTTGTGCGAGCTTCAATCTCCTAATTTAAATTTTTTGATTTTTTTATTTAAAAAAAAAAATCTTAGCATTTATTAACTTCTCTCAACTTCCAAGTCTTATCCTCATAATAACACTTTAATGCTTTGAGAACAAGTATAAAAAAAATTCTTTGAAATCCAACACATGAATTTATTGAAAAGTCTCAAAACATATGATTATTATCCCTCATGATAACTCTTTAATGTATTAAGAACAAGCATAAAAAAAAAATTCTTGAAAAGTCCAATACATATGATTATTATCAAAATATTAAACTTTAATATAATATAAAAAATGAAAAAAAGAAGACATTTAAAATAAAATAAAATAAAAACATTTAAAAATCACAATCTATCTATACTATATATTAAACAAAATTTGATTTTTAACTTCTAAGGTATGTAGGAGCTCCAATATCCCAATCTGAATTTTTTTAATTTTTAATTTTTTTTTTAAAAAAAAAACCTCAGCATTTATTGATTTGGTCAAACTCCCATGATCAACATTTATTAACTTTTTTCAATCCACATATCTTTTCACATACCTGTATTTATTGATTTAGTCAAAATCTCCTGATCAGCATTTAAAATCCTCTCAAACAAATAATTATAGATACAATCCGTACATAGTTATTGCAGTACTCTTTTCAACTTCTCCTATACACTATGGTTAGTGATAAGATTGTTAAATTATTTTTATAAAAAATCTTAGAAAACATAATTCACATTTTTAAAAAAATCTAAAATAAATATAAATATTTATAATTATTTCGTGCATAGCACGGGTTATAGATAATTCACATATATAGATAATTGTAAACACATTCCGTGAATCTAAATTTTCTGATTTTTTGATTTAAAAAAAAAATCTTAGCATTTATTAATTTCTCTCAACTCCCAAGTCTTATTTTCATAATTAACACTTTAATATTTTAAGAATAAGCATAAAAAAAAATTCTTTGAAATCCAACACATGAATTCCTTAAAAAGTCCCAACACATATGATTATTATCCCTCATGATAACCCTTTAATGTATTAAGAACAAGCATAAAAAAAAAATTTTGAAAAATCCAACACATATGATTATTATCAAAATATTAAATTTTAATATAATATAAAAAAGGAAAAAAAAAAGACATTTAAAATAAAATAAAATAAAAACATTTAAAATCACAATCTATCTATACTATGGCGCTGTTTGGGAAAGACAAGTTCATGCTATTATAGCCTCATTTTGGATATAAGCCAAAAAAGCATGAACAGTAGGCGGAGGTGCAAATGTCACGACCCAAACCTGCCCCTATAGGTTTAGCACCATAACCGGCCAGTAATCCAAGATTATCGAAGGTCTGCTTAACAGTAATACAGTAAAACAAAGTACAGGGGCATGGCAGAAGCCAAAATAGTAGATAAACAATGTCCAATGAGCTGTGACAGTTTGTATGCCAAAAAGACTTTTTCATTCAAATATATACAGTCAGACGAAACAGTATGTACATATATACAATAATTCAGTTCAAGGATCTAATCCCTATTAAACAGTACAGTACAATTTACAGTTTACAAAATAGAACAGAATGGGGAAAACTAAAACACCCCATAGCCTTAGCTTGACAAGCTCGGAACCTCGCAGTGAGGCACATAGGTTGGCTTTACAAAACTGGAGTTTACCCCGACGCTTCTAGCTGCGGTTTGGTGTCTATACACCTACATATATATATGAGCAGTGAGCTAAAACTCAGTGAATAACATAATGCGTAAAGGGGTTTCGAATGAATGTCCTTACAGTAATGAAAACAGTTCATTAAATCAGTATTTCAGTTGTTCAGTCAGTACAGTCATATGTGGTACATCCATTAGCATAACAGTACAGTAAACAGTAGGTCTTGAAAGACCGAACAGTAAATAATGGCCATCAATCAGTAAACAGTAGTAGTTCCAACAAGGGAACTGACAGAGATCTCTGTAACAGTAACAGTAAACAGTAGTTGCTAAGGATGCCACAATACAGTTCAGAATATAGGACATACATTCATTCAATTAACAGTATCAGTTCAGAAAGCAGTACAGTTCAATTGTTCAGAAGATAATCATTTTGAACATATCTTTACACAGTTGTTACTCACAGAGTTCTGGGCTACAGTAAAGCTAGAGCGCGTCCCCAGTCGCCAACCCTACACAGTTTACAGATTGAACACACACTAAGCTACACAGTTGGGAAAGATAATAGCTTAATCCTTAATTTGCCTCGGTGTGTTCTACATCTATATCCTCATTAAGATGTCTTAAACTAGGCCTAAGAATGCTTAAGATTGGATGAGGATGCAAAGATGCACTTTAAAAGCATTTTCAAAATTTTCAAAAAACAGGGGTCACGCTCGAGCGTATGTTACTCCGCTCGAGCGGACATGCAGACAAAGGTTTCCGCTCGAGCGCAGACTTGACCGCTCGAGCGTACTATAAAACAGTCAAAAGTGCTGGATAGGTGAAATCCATGCTCGATTGGGCGCTCGACACCCGCTCGAGTGTGAGACACAATGTCCCGCTCGAGCGTCAATTATTCCGCTCGAGCGGACGTCAAAACAGTGCAAAGTACTGGGAGCACGAATTACATGCTCGAGCGCCAGTCACCCCGCTCGAGCGTGAGTTCAAAATTTGGAATTTTCAGATTTGAACTTCAAGCTCAAAATCAAGTTTCAAACACCAAATTCGATCCCCATGGGCTCATTTTCTGGAAAAACACTTCAAAACTCATAGTTTAACATGATTCAAAGCTCAATTTGTAAAATCAAAGCCCAAAAGAAGATCAATTAAACTCATTTTCAAACCAAATTTCAAGAACATAATCCAAGCATGACAAGCATGAGTTTAGCTAGCTTCCAAGCTTCCAAAACATGCTCCAAGTAGCCAATTGTTCCAAAAACAAGATGAAATCATGGACTTAAACACAATATGAACATGCATATAACATTTTACCATGAAATCTACTCACAATTCAAACATGCATGCATGGAATGAGCTCCAATTCAACAATTTAAAGTTAGTTCATGCCCTTAATCTCTAAACTTCCATAAACCATGCAACATATGACTTGATTACATGAACAAGAGGGTACAATCTCTACCTTAAGTCTTAAATCAAAGGCAAGGAGGCTCAATTATGCAAATCTCCTACAAGTTCTTCAAGTCACCAAGCTAAATGTGTTGAAATCACTTTATCCCTCTCACTTTCTCTCTCTCTAATCAGCTATAGCTCACAAAAGGGCTGAAGAAAAGATATGCAATGTATATGACCAAGTCTGACAAGTGCCTAGCAAGTGGCCCTTTAGGATGGCAAATTGGTAATTAAGCCAACTATTGCAATTTAACACCATTTAGCCTAATTTAATCATACCGAATCGATTTTCAGATAATTACACCATTAAATCACATAAATTCTACTGATCATAACAATTTAAAGTTAGTTCATGCCCTTAATCTCTAAACTTCCATAAACCATGCAACATATGACTTGATTACATGAACAAGAGGGTACAATCTCTACCTTAAGTCTTAAATCAAAGGCAAGGAGGCTCAATTATGCAAATCTCCTACAAGTTCTTCAAGTCACCAAGCTAAATGTGTTGAAATCACTCTATCCCTCTCACACTCTCTCTCTCTCTAATCAGCTATAGCTCACAAAAGGGCTGAAGAAAAAATATGCAATGTATATGACCAAGTCTCACAAGTGCCTAGTAAGTGGCCCTTTAGGATGGCAAATTGGTAATTAAGCTAACTATTGCAATTTAACACCATTTAGCCTAATTTAATCATACCGAATCGATTTTCAGATAATTACACCATTAAATCGCATAAATTCTACTGATCATGAAACACTAATCAATTTCTAGTTCGGCCGCCGATAAGGCCTTCAATTTATAGTTAAACATAAAGGCATGAACAGATAATCAAACAGTCAACAGATAGACATACAATTAAACAGATATACTTAATCAATTCAGTTCCAGATTTTAGTTAGTCAGTTCAGTACTTCAATCAATTCAGTTACCAATCATAATCAGTCTCAGTTCAGCAGTAATCAGTGGTTAATCGGTAAACAGTGATGAGGGTTGTTACAGCAAAACTCAACAAAAAATAAATAAATAAATAAAATAGGTGTACTGCCGTGACAATGTATGCACAACCTACACTGTCAAAGTGACAAGTTGTTACATCACGTTAGAAATTACGATTTTGTCCCTTTTTTATCAATTTAAAAAATTATAATTTTAAGGACAAATTTGTCATTTTAAATTCAAACATCATCTCAACACACTTTTCAATACAACAACTCAACTAAAAATCCATCTCATCTTCCTAAACACAAAAACTAAAATAGCCTACTAAAATAGTCAAAAAGCCAAAAAGCCTCTAAAATAGTCTTTCCTAAACGAGGCCTATATATTAAGCAAAATTGGATTTTTAACCTCCAAGGCATGTGGGAACTCTAATATCCCAATCTGAATTTTTTTAATTTTTAATTTTTTTAAAAAAAAAACCTCAGCATTTATTGATTTAGTCAAACTTTCCTGATCAGCATTTATTAACTTTTTTCAATCCACATATCTTTCCACATGTCTGCATTTATTGATTTGGTCAAAATTATCTGATCAGCATTTAAAATACTCTCAAACAAATAATTATAGATACAATCCGTACATAGTTACTGCAGTACTTTTTTTAACTTCTCCCATATACTATGGTTAGCGATAAGATTGTTAAATTATTTTTACAAAAAATCTTAGAAAACATAATTCACATTTTAAAAAAAATCTAAAACAAATATAAATATTTATAATTATTTCGTGCATAGCACGGGTGATAGATAATTCATATATATAGATAATTATAAACACAATCCGTGCATGGAAGCTCTAATCTCCCAATTTGAATTTTCTAAATTTTTTATTCAAAAACAAAAAAGCTCAGCGTTTATTAATTTGGTCAAAATCCCTTGATCAGTATTTATTAACTTTTTCCAATCTACATGTCTTTCCACATGGCTACATTTATTGATTTCGTCAAAATTTACTGATCAGCATTTAAAATCTCCTCATACAAATTATTATAGATACAACCCGTGCATAATTACTGCAGTACCCTTTTCAACTTCTCTCATACACTATGATTAGTGATAAGATTGTTAAATTATTTTTATAAAAAATTTTAAGAAACATAATTTATATATTAAAAAAAATCTAAAACAAATATAAATATTTATAATTACCACGTGCATAGCACGGGTGATAGGCTAGTATTTGTATATACAAAAATAAATAATAATTGTGATATAAAATATTAAAATAAATACACATGTGAGTATATGAAAGGGTAAACGATATCTGATTAATTTGATTTTTTATAGGCATGTTCTACTTGATATATTCTAAAATGTGAACGGTTTGGATTATAGAAATGAGCCCTGAAACAAGCCATTTTTTCGCACAACAGTTGCTATTGTGCCCCACACATAGCAACCACCCCCACACCCATAGTTTATATGTATTTAAAAAATAAAATATTTATAAAAAAAATATTTTAAAATTTTAAGAAATACATAAAAATACAATATGTATTGTATTTTTTAAGTATATTGAAGTTAGTTACATCTAAAAAATATTAAATATTCGTTCTCAAAAAAAAATTATATATTAAATATCGACGTCGTTTTGGTGAGTATTTTGGTAAAAAAAAAAAAAAAAGGGCAAAATCAGAAAACTCATTTTCTAAAAAGTACGTTCATTTTTCTATAACCAAACCATAGGTTTCCCTACGTGGGCATCTTTGTATCATTTTTTTATTATAATTTTAACTTAACATAAAATTAAATACTAATTTTTTGTTCAAATTAAAGGGTTGAATTTTATTTTATTTTTTTTACAAAAATCATAAATATGTTCTCGAGCACTAGTGGAGGTGACGACTACTGTTGGCAGGTATTGGATAGGAACGAACTAGGTGAAGAAGTATCTCCCACCAAACAACAATGGTTGGAAAGTAGATTTTCCAAACTAGTTCTGCTTTATTTAATTTTTTTTTTTTTTTTTAAAAAGCAAAATTGTCTTGTAAAAGGCGGGTCCCTCTGAACAAAATCTTCAAAAATACTTGTGCACCTACTTGTAAACAACAGCATAGGCATTCACAAGTTTTGTGAAAAAATTCGTACAAGTAGATTTTCTGGTGTATGAAAGGAGGTATTTTGATTTGATTTTGTTCGTGACATTTAAGATAAGATGGTCAAATAATCAGTAATCTAGCAGTACGACATGCCATCATCCATGCGTCGGGATCCTCTAGAGTGAGAAGCCTGCAGTCATCTTCTCCTAGAGTGATTGATCCAACGGTTGACATTAAATCTCACCAAAACGACGTCGTTTTGGTGAGAAATTTGAAAAAAAAAAAATCAATCCATGTTTCTTCTCTGCCTTTTCTTTTCATTTTCTTGCTCAAGAAAATCATTCAAAATCAAGAAATCTCACATTCAGAGATGGATTGATTTCTGAGTTTTTGAGTTTAAATCGAAAAATCAGTACTATCTGAACAATGGAAAAATCAATGGATTGAAAAATGAAAGAGTTGATTTGAAAAACTTAGAAAGGTTCAACAGACAAGAAATCACAGAGAAATCACAACAGACAAGAAATCGAAAAATCAATCCATGGCTCAAGAAATCGAAAAACCATGGATTGATTTGAAAAAAAAAAAAAAATTTCGTGTGGGAGAGAAGATAAGACAGAGCATTATGTTTGCCCAAAAACAAAAACAAAAATACAAATACCAATGAAATCAACAGAATTAATACCCAACTGGAAATTGGGTTTTAGATTAATAAAAAAAATCTATCACAAAAAAGGGAGGATGAAGTTGGAGAAAGAAAGTGATAGGAGGATGAAGGAGGATTTTGCCCAGATCTGTCAATTGCAGGATGATGAAGTTAGAGAAAGAAAGTGATAGGTGTAGAGAGAGAGAAGGGAGGGGAGGTGGAGGAGACGAGAAGAAACAAGATGCTATCTTCGGCGGCGGCAGCGGCGGGTGACTCGACTTCGTCGGAGACGGGTGGCGGGCAACGCGATGGTCTTCTTCCTCAGCTGTTCCTCTCTCTCTCTCTCTCTCTCTCTCTTCCCCTTTTCAGTTGCTTTGAAACTCACCAAACTCAGGAAAAAAAATTTTCCTTACCAAAATAATCTCAACCTTTGATCTTATTAGTGAGGCACGTGTCAAGTTGTAAAACATCACTCTAGAGGATCACTTCACCATACGACTCCAGAGGATCCTTGCGCATCATCCATACCATGATATACGCCATGCTTAACTTGGATTTTACATGTACATATACCCACCTTAATTAAAGGATATTTAGAAGTAATGACATCAGTACATGCGTAAGGAACACTAGCACCCAAAACTTTTTTAATGCTCCCAAGCATCTTGAATTCACTCTGTCAAAAAGAAGACTTCTCATCCCACAAACATACATTTCATGAAGACCAAGTAGTTCAAAGCAAAGAAAGCAACTGATACAGGAGACAATTCATCAACAGAGTACAGCAACCACCAATTCAAACTCCAATTTGTATATTCAACAACCATGCCAACTCTGCAGCTGGTTGAAATGAAAAAGGGTACAGAAAAAGAAAGAAACCATCAACTCTTTCTTTGTCTAGTTTAGCTTTTAACTTCAATAGAGATAAAATCTAAATCTAACCACTGAATATATATTCAACAAACTGCACAAAGAAGCATCTCATTTGTGTGCCAAAAATATAATGGTGATACGATAAAGGAATATGTGATCGTGCATATACTAATGTAATGGAAACTAACAAGACTGCCAACGACTAACAATTCATAGAAAACTCTTGTTCACAACACCCAAATGAGGCAAGGAATTATGAGACAGAAGAGCAACAAATGAATATAACGCTATGAATATTATCATTATTCAACATTTAAAGATTTTAAGCAATCACAACCAGATATTAAATTTGGCAAGGAATAACAACAGGCCAAACCAGTGTTTGCTGACTTTAGCTTAAATTCATAAACTTGTGTTACTAAATTTAGCTTAAATTGATAAAATATCTAGACTTTGCAACACAAATAGCAACCCCACACCTCACCACCATCGCAATGTCCATGAAGAAGAGAAAGCCTTGAATATCTTTCCATCTTTGCCAGCAATTCCAGCTTGAAAATGCATCGTGCCAAGTAAATGACACCCCTTTACAAGCAACACGTTATTTCCATAATTTCATCCAACAACACATAAGATACTTCACTTCCACAGGCAATCATTGAATTAATTTCACTGTCCTCTGGCTTTTTCATTACGATGCAAAACCTACATATGTTTGCAACTGTACCAAAAGATAGCCCTTAGTCCCAAACAACGTAGAATCAAACAGCAATTTCCCCTGGCAGGCAAGTATCACTGAAACATACACACATATCCAAATTTTTGTTTCCATATTCTCTCAGTTTTTCCAGAGAGATTTATTGTTTTAACATAAATTTTTGAAATTTTCTTTTGCTTTCTTTTTAAACCCCCCATAGGAGAAACAGAATACATCGAAGCTGAGATCCATCAAATGCATCAATGGAGCAGGTCTCGCAAGCCCAAGCGACAATCGAAGTTGTGCTGTTGGTGCTCTTTTCTCTACGTCCATGAGCATTCAAGATATTGCAGGATTCCATGACTTCAACCAAGTACGTACCTGGCTTCCATTTTTGCATAAAAAACATGGACAGCCAATCATGCAGTTCATATCCCATAACTCACAAGCCAAAAAAGCATATACACGACATCAATTTCTTCTAGCCATAAAGGCAAAAATGGTACCTTGCCTGCTGGTGAAAAACAGTGCACTTAGAGTGAGCACCCATCTCTTCCTGCCTATTTTGACATTTCAGAATCTGCTTCCAACAATCCAAACAAAGCAAATCAAGGCAGAATGTCTCCTCATAATCACAGCCATCAACGCAGCACCCGCAATGGATACACCGAGGTATACAAATTGTACAAGCCCTACAAGACTGGGTGGATTGATGTTTTCCTTGGCAGCTCTCTGCTGGGCAATCGTAGACTTGTCTGAGTTTTTGGCATTTTGGGCATGCCTCAATGTCAATAGCACGGTCATCGTTACAAGAGAGATACAATTGCCCACCGTGGTAGAACCGTGGTTTGTGGGCACTGGGCTGGCTATGGTTATCTGTACCTAGTAAAGACTTTAATTCTTCAAACTGCTCATCTGTTATACCATAAAGCCCACCAACCCTTATGTGTTTTATTCCAAGCTTTCCTGAGGATTTAAGGCCTTTAAGTTGCACAAGATACCTTCAACACTAAGTCTCACACATCCTGGCACACTTAGCTGCATGATATGAGAACACAGATTTAGAAAGTGACTTCATAAAGATATTAAATAGGAGTAACCCGTTTTACAAATGAATATAATGTTAAACAATTAAATGACGAGGAACAAAGAGAAAACAGTCCTCAATGAGCATGAATTGGACTTCCAGAGACCATAACTGCTTGAAAGATACCAGCAGCCATTAATTGCATGATTCTAAGATGTACTACTTCCATGAATTAATAAAGTTCGGCCACCTATGCTGTTGGAAATTTGGCACAACTGATGTTCATACATATAAAGGTTGTACAAACGTCCCATTACAATTGAAACATGCCTTTGTGTTTAATAAAGCTTCTATACATAATTCACATTATGCTATATGGAACAACAACATAACTACATTTATCATGTGTTTGAAACATTGGGACAACTTTATGCACAAAAATAATAAACACAAAATCACAGCGTAAACAAAGTTTAATTTGCTATAATACGAACCTTTGTCAGCCCTGCATTGCGCTCAAGCACACGCCTCAATCCACTATCGGAGATCCTCAAGCACCCCACTAGACTCAAGCATTGAAGAGTGCCTTGAGCCCTGCTAGTTAACTGCAATAGAGCATCATCAGTGATCTTGTCACTTAATGGCTGATCTATGTGAATACTCCTCCACAGAAGAGGATCATTTTGAACTGCATCACACAAGGATTTGCAAACCCTTTCAATAGACAGAAGGTCCTTCACACCTAGATAACCAAGAGCAAAAAACAAAGCATCATGGGGAGCACCACCATCACCATCACCATCACCATCACCATCCGAATGGATTTCAGTGCAACCTTGAAATTCTTTAGCAGCATTGCTGGATACCCAATATTTATCATAGTTGGAGACCCAATATTTATCATAGCTGAAACCCACAAGCTCCTCTTTGTTGTCATCCAACAGAACACCACCATCACATAGTCCAGACTGTAATTCTTTAACAGACCCAATTGATGCTTCTTGGCTCCTGGGATTATCAGCCTCCTGATGGAACTTCACAGCACCATTCCAAACCAAATTCAGTCCCGCAAATACCCGATCCTCTGCCACCTCCGCCTCATCTTGATCAGTAACAAACCCAAGAGAATGTAACTCCAAATCATTCTCAATATCCTCAAGCCAACCCCTAATTGCTGTAAGAGTAGTATTCAAACCCATATCAAACGGATCAGAAGGCAACAAATCAAGAATATCATCAGAGACCTTCTCAATTTTCTCCTTTTTGCACTCGTCGGAATTCTCAAATTCCGTATTGAATTTCTTGTAATTGCCAAAACCAGCAGAATTCTTATCTGGGCATCCCTCAATTAGGTGCCCATCACCAGAAAACAAGCTCTCTTCCAACGGATGATCCGGAACGACAGAGTTATTTGAAAGATTCAATGCCATTGTTGATCCACCCACCTTAACCAAAAGCAAGAAACACAAACCCTATGACAAAGAGTGGATTACAAAACAACCAAATCAGAACCCTATTACACAAAAAGAACCCTCAATTTTTTGATTGCAAACTAAAACAAAGCACCAAAAGTTCTTTAAAAAACCCAAAAGGGAAGCAAAAAACTAGGGTTCAGGCAACATCAAGAAAATCATAAAAACATGCATACACGCATACAAATGCATCAAATCATGTAGAAAGATTAAAGAGTTAAGAAGAGTACGAGGCAGCAAGAAGATAAAGATGGAATTGAACAACAGACCTGTGATTTGCCAAAGAAGGTGGTTTTCAAAGAATGAAGAGGGCTTGATATAGAGAAACCCTAGATGATGAGAGGTACAAACAAGGCAATATATACAAAGATAATGCTAATATATTAGAGACCTGCGAGTAAAACAACATTCAAATCAGAATTGGAGTGGGAATAGAAAAGAGACGACAAAGAATTTAACCCCAACACAAGTTTGACCAAATTGCAGATATACATATATATACACACACATATATACAGCTATAGATACATATGTGTTTGATACATAATGTAAAACCAGAGAGAGATAGAGATCGAAGACGATTGCTAAATTTAGAGAGAGAGAGAGAGAGAGAGAGAGAGAGGAGGGTGAAGTGAACGGCGCGTGTGGAGGGAAGAGAAAAGATGTGGCGCGAGCCCTATTTGTCTCTCCTAATAAGGCTATGTTTGGAAGATAAAAATTAAGCACGGAATGTGATTTTCATTTCAAATTGTTTGAATGTATTATATGATGACATAAAATCTGATCTTTTATTTACTTTTTTAAAGAATAATGAAATTCTCATATTAAGTGAAAAATTCATTTCACGACTACAAATCATTTAAGAGTTTAAAAAATAATTAACTTGTAATATTTAAAATTTTATTATCTGTTGGAAAATAAGCCTTTAGCCAAATAAAACTAATAATTGCATTGTTAAAAGAATCTTATTACTAAAAAAAAAAAATTCTTGAAATTAATAAGTAGTCTTTTAAGGTCATTTGTCGAAGAGTTAAATATCTAAGCATGTTCGATTTATAGGAGATGTAGCATATTTTGAAAAGTGGATTAAAAGTTAATTTTTTAACTTTTTTATTTTTTTTATTCACATCATCTTTCTATTTTTTTAAACATTTAAAAAAAAAATTAAAAATTAACTTTTAACTTACTTCTCAAAATAAGCCGTGATATATGCTATTTTAATAACAAGTTATTTTGTCTACAATTTGAGTAAAAACAAGATTTTTATTTTTTATTTAATTGTTCCGGTAAATTTTCCTACATTGGGCATGTCATGTCTCATCTACTCATGCCAAATGTTCAAGTGTACATGCTTAATAAATGAAAATTAATCTCTATCATGAATTTTAGCTGTATTGCATGGATTCACGCTATAAACATTTATGTATGACTCTGAATTCACAAAAGAGAATAAATCCTGTTTGTGAAGTCATAATGTCTCTGTTTGGCAAGATGATTTTCAGGTTTTTTTGGCTATTTTAGCCACAAAAAACAAAATAGGCTATTTTAGTCATAACAAACAAAACATCACATCCAACCTATAATCATTACATTCTTCTCTCACAAAAAAAGTCAAAAAAAGTCAAAAAGCCAAAAAGCCCTTTCCAAACCAAACTTTTTAGCCCAGACTAAAATAGCCAAAAAAGCCAAAAAATTAAAAAGCCAACCTACTTCCCAAACCAAGCCAAAATGTTTCAAACTTTGAAAGTATTTTAAGCTATGAAATTTGTCATCTTTAAATCGTCACATAATCAAAAGGGCATCATGTAAAATAAATCATAAATTTTGTAACCATCAAAAAGTCCATAAATTTGTGATGACTTTATACTAATAACACACAATTTGCGTTATTAATGCATCGGATAACTATCATCCTCTCATACAATCTACACTCTCATCCAAACAGCACATAAACTCCATGAAGTTGTTAATCTTGCAATATAATATTCCTAATTTATAGTAATGAAGTCAAAACTCTCTTCGTGCCCTCTTATTTAATAAATAATAGCATTAAAAAAAAAAAGGAGTGTTAAAGGGAAAATTTTCACATATATAGAATTAAATCACAAATATATATAAACAAAAAGAGTTAATCTACATATATAGAATTAAATCACAAATATATATAAACAAAAATTAATGTTACACTTATTAAAAAATATAAACTAATTTAATAAAAATATACATTTTTTTTTCTTTTCAAAAATGATTTCCGTCTCAAAAAATAAAGATCATATGAAAATAAGAGTGATTTTTAAAATTTTCATTTTTTTTCAAAATTATTTTTTTTAAATTTAAAACAAAAAATTGATCGGAGAACATCATGTATTTGACTATGATAAAAGTTAGAAGGTAAGCATAATTATAATATTTAATTTAAACTTGCAAAATTTTTAAATAGCAATGTGCTTGAGTTCAATTTTTTAGAAATTGATTTTTTTATTTTTTGTATTCTTTTGTTTTTAGTAAATATTTTTAAAATTTCAAGCAATTTTTTTCACTTTATTAGATACACCTTACTTAGATGTATCTAAATAATAAAATATTTATGAAAAAATATTTTAAAAAATTACTAAATTCACAAAAATATGAAAAATATACTGAATTTTTTTTTTTATATTTTTGGTATTTAGTAAATTTTTTAAAGATTTTTTCACAAATATTATATTTATATTAGGTGTGTCTAAAAATTAAAAAAATTGCTTAAAATATTTTAAAAATTCAGTGAAAACAAAACAGTACGAAAAATGAAAAAATAAAAAAATTTAAAAAGTGAATTCTAAAAATTGAAACCACACATAGTATTATCTTTTCATCCAATACAAACTATGTACCTTGATATTTATTAATATTAAAATAAATCGAAGTATATAAATTAAGTATATATAGCTTAAATTAACGTGTTTGCTAAGTATCTTATGATAAGTATCAAATTATTGCCAGGGATTATGTCAATACTCAAAGCAACGATTTTGACAACAAATTTTTTTATACTAATTAAAACAACTGGCCCACTAAATTATCTAATATTATGTTCTTTCATAATATTATTGCCTTAATCAACCTACACTTTATAATATCTATAATTAATCTAAATTTGTTATTATGCTGCCCATAATTGGATTTGTTGTAGCTTTCTGCAACAATCATAAATATGATTGACCCAACTATTTTCAATATAATCTTATATGATTGAAGAATAAAAACATAACACTAATTTTTTGGCATAAATGGTGAAAGTGTGTGGCTTAGGTAAATTGCACTGTAACTGAAAAGTAATATAGTGAGACTCGTCATTAAACATATTGTTTTACTCAGATTACTCTACTTACACTATACTTAATGGATTTAACGTTTGAAATTGAAATATATTTGCATAATTAATATTGTGTTTGAAAGTTAAATTTCTTCTTAATATTAATTTTTTTTTTTGCTACATACTTATATGATTAATTACACAAATATTTTATGATTGTGTTTAAATAGGATTTTTTTATGTATATAGCACAGTTTATTTATTTTTATTTTTTGCTAGTAGTGGATTGGTTATATAATTTCAGAGCAATTGCAATAAAATGATATAAACTCAAAATCATTGCAAAAATGAGGAAGTATAAGATTTAGTCGCACAATCTAATACATGAATTGCTTGTACTTCCATGACATTACAATTATTTTGAGTTGATACTAGTTTTTTGCAATTCCTTTTGTAATTTTTAGGTCAAAGAATTGTGCGGAAGAAGAATGAATTGGTTGATGTGTGAAAACTTTAGAAGTGGGATTTTAGATGAAAAAAGAAAAAGAAAAGTAAAAGAAGGTTAACATCTTGTTTGGGTAAGACCTTGCTTCGCTGCAAGGTGTTGCTTGCCTACACTAACTTGCATACAATTCTTTATTTATGAGTTTACATATTCCTCATTCAATTGAATAATTAATACATTGCAAAGAATAAAAAGAACAAAAAAAAAAAGTGAATACAAACACACTTTATACATAAAAATGGATCACTTTATTGTCACTGTCATGTAGCAAACTAGCAAATTGAATGGTTCGATTTCTTACATGTAAAGGAATCAATGGGCTAGAGGAGACATTTGAGTGAAGGAAAAGAATGTAACCAATATTCTATATTTACGTATGCTAAAGATAGATTTAATAGTCTTAAAAAACATAAATAAATAAATAAACAAAAAATAAAAACAGCAAAATTCACCAGCGATTTATATCATTTTTTATTATTATTAATATTATTATTTTTTGGTAGTGTTGAAGTTATCACTGTGGTTTCAGGTCCACAGGCTTTCTTGATTTGGATGCAGACTCTGATTATTGGGCCAATGCAATGCAATTAAGTCTGCTTTTGAAAAACAAGGCAAGGAATGGTTGGCAGCAATTAAACATATCATTCAATGTGGAACTCTGGACCATTGTAGGGTTGGTTTTGCCAAGCATAGTCAACAACAGTCTCAAGAGTGAAACATTTTAAGTAAAAAAAAAAAAAAAAGTATTTATCCAGACAAAAACATTTTTATCTTTATTTCTCTTTGAGTTCGGATCCTCTGCTGTCACACCCTGTCATGTTTCTTGCTATAGTGCTAAAACGGCGTCGTTTTGATTTTTTTTTTTTTTGCTTTTTCCTTTCCCTTGTTTTCTTCTCTCTCCAAGCTCTCAAACAACACAGACCTAAGAATCCAAAGCTACTTAAGCACGAACACTGAAGACGAAGAAGAGGGCCATGGTGGCGGTGAGGCCACAGCAACGACAGAAAAATAAAAAATAAAATTTTTGAATCAGTTGTCAATCGTTTTTACACCACACACACATAGAGAGACAGAGACAGAGAGAGAAGTAGATCGAAGAGGAAGAGAAGAGGATCGCCGGCCGCTGACGAAGCATTCAGAGCCACCAAAAAAAGAAAAATTCGTTCTGAGTCGTTTGTTGGTTTGAATTATACTAATTCAATTTTTGAACCCAATGGTGTCTTTGGTTTGTTGTGTGAAATTGACATTTGGGTTTTCTCTTGATTCAGATTGATGCTTGAAATTTTAAAGTATTTTTTGTTTTGTTTCTGGGTTTTAATTGGTTTTTTTCAGGTTATCCAATGCATGCAAATCGGCGTTGTTGTTCTGTTTTAGAAAATTGATGTGTTGGTTTATCTCTTGATTCAAATTGATGTTCAAAATGCCAAAGCTAGTGTGTTTAGTTTACAGGTTCAAAACATCCAGCCAAACAAAATGCTAAAACAAAAATCTGAGATTATTTTCTTTGTTTCAAAAATCTGAGATTCCAGTTCTGTTCATCAATTTTCACCAGTTTCAAACCAAAAGGGAAAAAGAAGGTAAACCCAAAATCACAAGCAGAAAATCAGTTGAATTTCTATAGTTAGCTTTTCATATAAGAATGCCCAAACTCAAAATTTGCCTCTTGAGTGTTATTTTCGATGTGTCCATTGGCATCTTGATGATTGGTTTGAACCCATTTGATGATAATGATGAGGATGATGATGGGAGTCTGTTTGAGAGGGGCATTGGCAGAGATGATTGCATGGTATGTGATGAAAGCTACAGACAAGGTTTTGATGAGAGTGAAGAACAAGTTTCCACAACCCATTTTCCTCTTTCTCCAGTTTCTCTTTCTCTCTCTAGCATTGGAGATGGCTGCTTCAAACTCGGTTTCTCTTTCCCAAAGGTTGAGAGCTGTGAGAGAAAAGAAAAGAGAGAAAAAAAAATGTTCTGAAACGACGTTGTTTTGGAAGTATGGCAGGAAACAATTACAGAGGATCCCAACTATCTTTCTTCTGCATTAAGTGCAGCACCCGATTCGATTCAACCAATAGGACACAGCTGGATCTAGAATCCTGTGAACTGTCAGCCTCGGATCACTGTATCGGCATTCTCTACATATTGATACTCCATCTAACAATTTTAAGGACAAGCTCATTAAATCAAAATTTCTCTCTTGCATTGGCTTCAACGCAAGTTTATTATTATATTTTTAGTAATCACACAACAAGATTCATACTCTGGATCTATAATAGCCCATCAAGATTACAGTGCCGATGCAATGTCACAGGACACTACTAAGAGCAGGCCCTGACAGATTTATAAAACATAGAGACAATTGTACGCTGGTATATATATATATATATATGGTTATAGGTAGGCACTGACAAAACCTCATGGTCTCCAGAAGATTATGCGTGCAGGCATGCAAAGCTACTACAAGGTGGGAGGGATCCATATGTAGCCGTGTGTTTGAACATAACCAGCTCTTTCCAGCAACTGATCTGCTTCTGCTGGGCCTCGGCTGCCTGGCAGGTATGGAATTGGCTTGAATTCTCCATTATCGATTCTGTGGAGCATAGGTGTAAAAATCTCCCAAGCAGCCTGACAATTTAAAAAAAAAATAAAAATTACACATTGTAAGATTTCGAATTCGTACAGTATGACGAAATATGTACCCAGATTTATTCTGTATACCTTCAACTCATCTCTACGAACAAAATGCTGCTGATCTCCCCTTATTCTGTGAAAAAAATAAAAACACAAATTTGTTATCAAACGGGTGTTATTTTCGATGTGTCCATTGGCATCTTGATGATTGGTTTGAACCCATTTGATGATAGTGATGAGGATGATGATGGGAGTCTGTTTGAGAGGGGCATTGGCAGAGATGATTGCATTGTATGTGATGAAAGCTACAGACAAGGTTTTGATGAGAGTGAAGAACAAGTTTCCACAACTCATTTTCCTCTTTCTCCAGTTTCTCTCTCTCTCTAGCATTGGAGATGGCTGCTTCAAACTCGGTTTCTCTTTCCCAAAGGTTGAGAGCTGTGAGAGAAAAGAAAAGGGGAAGAAAAAAAAAATGTTCTGAAACGACTTTGTTTTGGAAGTATGGCAGGAAACAATTACAGAGGATCCAGACTATCTTTCTTCTGCATTAAGTGCAGCACCTGATTTGATTCAACCAATAGGACACAGCTGGATCTAGAATCCTGTGAACTGTCAGCCGCGGATCACTGTATCGACATTCTCTACATATTGATACTCCATGTAACAATTTTAAGTACAAGCGCATTAAATCAAAATTTCTCTCTTGCATTGGCTTCAACGCAAGTTTATTAGTATTATATTTTTAGTAATCACACAACAAGATTCATACTCTGGATCTATAATAGCCCATCAAGGTTACAGTGCCGACGCAATGTCACAGGACACTACTAAGAGCAGGCCCTGACAGATTTATAAAACATAGAGACAATTGTACGCTGGTATATATATATATATATATGGTTATAGGTAGGCACTGACAAAACCTCATGGTCTCCAGAAGATTATGCGTGCAGGCATGCAAAGCTACTACAAGGTGGGAGGGATCCATATGTAGCCGTGTGTTTGAACATAACCAGCTCTTTCCAGCAACTGATCTGCTTCTGCTGGGCCTCGGCTGCCTGGCAGGTATGGAATTGGCTTGAATTCTCCATTATCGATTCTGTGGAGCATAGGTGTAAAAATCTCCCAAGCAGCCTGACAATTTAAAAAAAAAATAAAAATTACACATTGTAAGATTTCGAATTCGTACAGTATGACGAAATATGTACCCAGATTTATTCTGTATACCTTCAACTCATCTCTACGAACAAAATGCTGCTGATCTCCCCTTATTCTGTGAAAAAAATAAAAACACAAATTTGTTATCAAACGGTTTGCCTTTGAGATCTTATTATTATTTATCACTATTAGTACAACTATTATTACTGTATGTCTCCGAGTACTAAAAACAAAGGCCTTAAATATGGCATGTAACAGGTACACATAATGTCAACAAGCAAGGATTTAAACCATACGTGTCCAGAATTAGGCGCTCATAAGCTTCTGGAATGGTAACCCCTTGATAACGTTGCCCATACGACAAGTCCAGTTCGCTTTGAACAGTTGACATTTCCAAGCCAGGCTGCTTGACCTGCATGAGAGAGTAATCAAGTCAGAGGACATGTATGAAATTTGAGGGTACTTCTGCCAATGATTTTCTAGAGAACTTATTCTATCATGCATTTAAGGAGATTTAAAAGAGAACCTTGGTAAAATGCAAGAGAAAGGGAGAGGAAGGCAAAGATAAATGCAAATAAAACTAAAAGCCAACGTGAATTTGGGCCCATGGATTAATAATCCTAATCCCATACTCTAATCCACCCAATCAAACATGCCCTATTAGTACAACTATTATTACTGTATGTCTCCGAGTACTTAAAACAAAGGCCTTAAATATGGCATGTATCAGGTGCACATAATGTTAATAAGCAAGGATTTAAACCATACGTGTCCAGAATTAGGCGCTCATAAGCTTCTGGAATGGTAACCCCTTGATAACGTTGCCCATATGACAAGTCCAGTTCGCTTTGAACAGTTGACATTTCCAAGCCAGGCTGCTTGACCTGCATGAGAGAGTAATCAAGTCAGAGGACATGCATGAAATTTGAGGGTACTTCTGCCAATGATTTTCTAGAGAACTTATTCTATCATGCATTTAAGGAGATTTAAAAGAGAACCTTGGTAAAATGCAAGAGAAAGGGAGAGGAAGGCAAAGATAAATGCAAATAAAACTAAAAGCCAACGTGAATTCTCTCCTGATTAGAATTTAGAAATCAAGTTTCATCATGCAAGTCCCATAGAACTTCACAACATTTATAGCCAAAAAAAAAAAGGTTTTTAAATATAGCAAGTACTTATGCATATGTATAAAAGTATCCTACAAGAAATATACAAGTTCAACAGTAAGTTGCCGTTAATTGTTGTAGGACTTTATGCCATCTGGGTACATTCAAGGTTTTTTTATTTCAAAACACCAAAATGGATTGTTGTTTTGACCACACTGTAAATAGATGAAGCTATAGGCCTCCTCCAACTAGGGTTATTGGATGATCATGCCTTAACAATCTATCTAGACTACAAAGTTTCAGCAGTACCATTAACGGGATCAAAAAATTTAGTTTGGCAAGCTATAAGCAGAAAGAGAAGAACCATAAGCCTGGCTAACCACAGATGAAATTCAAATTCGAACCTATCTTTGGATCATAAAACCAAGGTTTTGGAACATATAGAATGGTGTTCTCTAATAAAAATGTTGCTCCAGAAATTATCTGCCACTCAAAAGTTCATCAGACAAACAAACACAAAAAGTTTGATGGAGACAATAACACCTAATCTCAACTCAAGAAATAAGACACCTATGACACCATAATCAGGTACTGGCTAAAAAATTATGGGTATGATAATTCCAGTAAGTTATGAAATGTTTGAAACATTTGATGAATATGTGCACTCGTAAAATCACCACATAACAATAATCATTCCCATACCGTAAGCTTCATGTACATGGCCTCTAAAGGTTGCAGGCGTATTACAAATTCATTTCTTCCTTGCTTTTTACCTGAAGAAAATAATGTGATTTACCAGATTACAACATATTCTTCAAGCAAAGAATTTAAAACTAATCAGTTTAGACCAGATAACAATAATCAAAGAAAAAGGGTTATTGAGGCAATAATATGTGGTTTTGTAAGGATGTCATAATTTACAAACAAAATTGACCTCATGTAATATCTTAGAAACAGTAGTAATTCGGCAAAGGTTACTCAATTGATGTAAATCATACCAAAATGTTGCTTATTCTTTTTTTCCAATTCTTTTGGTATGTATCAATCTTTATTATATCAGAACTAGACTTTACTATTTGACATAAAGGCCTATGGTGTAGTCAAGTATGATATAGAAGACTTGAGAAGATGACCAGAAGTTGAAGAGAAGTAATTTATTATACTAGCATACCATACATTTGAATATATCACCAGGAACATCCTTAAATTGAACACGTATTTCTGCCTTCCTTGAATTTAACGCTTTCCCTGCCTTCATTATAAAGGGAACACCTGAAGGAAACAATTCATAAAGATTGTAGTCAGAACACAATGGTGTCTGGAATTTCTATTAAGTTAATCCAATGCTTAAGAAAAAGTAAAATACATAAAATAAAAATAAAAAAACACAAAACACAAAACACAAAACACAAAACACAAAACAGAAATATAGAAGGTAAAAGAGTTTTTTTCTTCAATTGTGAAGGATATCTAAAATAAAAATACAAAGCAACCAAAATGAAATTGTATATATTTTATCATACCTTCCCATCTTTCATTGTGAATTCGAAGAACCACAGTTGCAAAAGTAGGAGTGTTTGAGTTATCAGGAACTGTTGGGTCATCTGTATAGCCTTTGTATTGTCCAAGAACAACCTCATGATCATTAATAGGAAGCACCGATTGAAGGACCTGAATTTTACACTTAAGATCATCAGGGGGAACTGGAAAAGTCATGAAAGTCTAGGACTTAAAAGTTAAATCACAAAACTGTGAAAGAATGTCTAATATATCATAAAAAGAGAATCTCATAATAAGCACAAACACAACATTCATACAACATATCAAATTTTAATGTCTGTAAAGATTCATATATCCCTCTCAACTAAGTGCCTATTTCAAATAGCTTTTGTTCTTTCAGGTAGATATTAATCCACTAGTTGTCAAAAAGAAAGAGAGAAGTGCAAAGAAAATGGACGTCTTTTTTTTTTTTTGGTCCTTAAATCATATTTCTTTTCTTTACATTGATCGGAAAGGTATCTAGAGAGTTTTTCAATCTTAATTTTGGAAGAAGGGTATTTTAATGTTGTCAAAGCATATACATAAGCAAAAGACATAATAAAGTAGTTGTCCAGTTTCTATAAGAAAGTTATCCTGTTACACACCTTCACTTTCTCATCCCGGATATGCTCAGGCTTAAGAGAAACAGGCTTCTCCATAGCTACAAGGCAAAGAACCTGCAGTTGATATAGTATACATTTGTTATATGTTAAATAAAAAGTGAGAAAGAAAATGGGGATGCATGTTTGTGATAAATCTATCTTATAAAATGTAACTAAAACCATTGTCATCCAACCCCATGGAATGCAAATTATTCAATCACAACTAGAAAACATTAGCAATATCAATTAGCAAAAAAATAGTAGCCAGATCTTTCATGTAGGTAGCAGAAGTTAAATGTGGAATTTTGTCTGCCAATTACTGAACAAAATCTGAAATTCATGCTATTTTTCCATCCCAGATAACCAGTAACAGAATGAATGTTACTGTCCAAAAAAATCTAGGTTGTTTGGTTCAGAAAAGTTCAATGGGCTGAAATACATTAAAGAGAACATAAACTGCATCCACCAAAGGCATGATACAAGAGGTTAATATGGAACTATCAACCTCATAAGCTAAAGGAAGAAAACAACTATGGACATAAGCGAATGTAAATGTTTAATATTCTAACTTCTGAGTCTTTACAAAAGTACTTTCCACAGTGAAGAGATATTCAATGATTCAAATGTCAAAATATTGTTGTCTAAATATTATCTATCAAAACACAATGTCATGGACTCACCTGTAATAGATGGTTTTGAATAATATCACGGATGATTCTGCAAAAAAATAAATAAACATATTTAATACTGCAAGGTTAGTATCAATTTCCGGAAACAGGAAGAAAAGGGAAGAAAATTTGCATAAATTCTCCAAGATACTTTTCCATTTACAACTGTATCTGTTTCCCTTACACAGTCCAACATAATGATAATGTTGACAACTAGAACAAAACCAATCTACAGTACACAAATTTGAATCAAAAACATTCTTACTAAAAAGGAAAAAATCTTTATAGATTGTAAAACCTTGATTCTTAATTTCTAAGTCCTAATCAATAGAAAAATCTCACAACAAAACAACTGTGAGCTTCCATGGAACATACCCATATTCGTCAAAATATCCACCACGACCTTCAGTTCCAAAATCCTCCCTAAACACAATCTGCAAGAAAACAAAAAGGAAAAAAACGATAGCTAAAATAAGGGGAAAGAAAACATTAATGTTCAAGATTGTGGCACAAAATTTACCATATTTGCTCTAAGCATATTGACATTATTCAAGAAAAATAATGTTTAAGCAAGCCCACAATTGCCAATTTAAAAGTAAATTAAATCAAGTTACTTTCACTGATTCACCTGTCCCGACAACAACAATTATTTAAAAAAAAAATTAACAATTAAGGAAAAAGAAGTATGCTTACCTGTACGTTATCGATGTTGTCACGATTCCACAATGGCAAAAACAAGCGATTCGCAAAACGAAGTACCAACTGCAAAATTTTATTAAGTGGCATAAACAAAGAAATCAGCAGCTTGAACAATCTGAAGAAAATATGTATTGGAAAATTTTAGAAACCTATATTTACCAAGTTTTGCACCAATTCCTTTCCCAAATAGTGATCAATACGATAAATCTGTGGTTCTTCAAATAACTCTCCAATCTGCGCACTCAGTTCCTCGGCTGAGCCCAAATCCTTGCCAAAAGGTTTCTCAACAACAATACGAGTCCATCCACCAAGATCGGCTGAAAAGGATTTCATTAAGGAGTTCATCAAGATCAGTACTCTTGAGGTTTTGAATCAAAAGGACCACAATGACCAGTATTTTCCCATTCAAGGATTACAAGATGCCAAATGTATAATAAAAGAAAATTTGATCCATTGAATTTCATGTACTTTTAAATCTAAGAGGAACAATAGCTTGCATCGTCACGTAGTAAATATAATAAACAAAGTTCCAATAAAATTCAGAATGACAGAAGAAAAATGCTTTATAATCAGGACAGATATAACCTGGAGATCATGTCATTGACACACGATTAATATTTCTATTCTATACTACGTACACAAACATGTAATCAGATAGAGATAAATATTGTGAACATAAGATCACATATTTCCATAAAACACACCAAGAAATAAATTGTTGCTACTCATAAAACATGTGGAGCAAGAAAATGACAGCCACCTGAACTCAATGCATAGCAGAATTGAATTCCCCTCCAATGAGCGTTGACTCTCATGGAAATTACTTTTTATTTTTCAGAAAATCACATCAAGGACTGACAACCAAAAAAGGTAGCGTACCTTACGAGAAGAATGACCAAATTATACTAGCATTATTTTCACAGCCACAAAACCACTTGTAGAATGGAAACACTTACATTTATTCATGCAATAGTTCTTGATCATTTTGCAGACAGATGGATATACTGACGGAGGAAGCGCAAGATAGAAAAGTCTACGGGATGATCCTTCTATGGTGTTTTTGGAGAATTCATGCCCATATATCTCCTTATCCAGTAACTGAAAACCCTCTGCAGAATCATAGGAGCCACATACATATTTTATCTGCATGAATTAATAAGAAAATTATTTACTAGTCACTGGATTAGAACAGAACTGTTAAAAGATCAAAGAAATAACGAAGATGTAATAGCTGAACTAACCAATCGCAAAAACTCTGATACTTCTTCCAACAGCTCACTAGAAGCACCCTTACCCTGGATAAGATATCTGCAATCATTAATGCCAGAAGGTCAATCAATCCCTATAATCACAGTACGCATATGATCATTGAACCAAACATTTAATGGGACATTCCAGGCTCACTGGAACTTGAAGTTGGTAAATATTACATGAAACGCACAATGACATGGGGAAAAAACTACAGGCGAGGAAAATGGAAAACTCACCCACGTATGCGATCTCTCAACTCATCATCGGAAATCTTGGTCCTTGCATAACCAAAGATATGTACTTCATTGGGTTGCAAAAATCCCTGCACACAGCACACCCCATCCAAAGTTGGCAAACTAGTGCAGTTGTATTATTCTGAAGCTAAATCGTTGAAATGCGACAAATATACTGATTAGGAACATAAATAAATCCCATCAGACCTGCCGGTAAAGGTTGAAAAGGGCTGGAAAAGTCTTTTTCTTGGCAAGATCACCGGAAGCACCCAGTACAATAATGGAGAGACACCCAGTTTCAGGAACACCCGCATATTCTCTCGAAAACGATTCATTTCTAATAGTGGATCTTTTCTCGATGGTCCATTTACCTGATCCCATCTTCTAAGCTTAACGCAACAAACAAGTTTGACCCAAAACTCTCACACAATTACACAAAGCAAATTCGGTTATTCCTTGCGATCTGCATATAAATAACCCAAAAATAATAAATGAATGACAAACAAAACTTTAAACAACACTGTGACAGTAATAATTTGCACTTGTATGAGTATGAGAGAACCAATTAACTTCATTCACTACCACCCACAACACAAGATCAGCTAACAGAGTTGAAAATCTAAGCTTTTTAACAGAGATCAACAAGAAGAGAAGTGAAAAATAATGAATTGACCATACTAGTTGACAATACATACACATGCATACAAAGATATGAAAAAAACTAAACAAATCAACTAAATGATTACAAATTGATGTGTACGAACAAGTGATTGGGAACCAAAAAGAAGTGAAATCGGAGTGAGAAATACAAGTAAAGAAAGAAGAGGAATTAGATCAAACCTGTAAGCTCAGAAGAGTGTTATGATCAATGGAAAAAACTGTGAATCAAAATCTGAAATCAAACAAGAATTGCGGAAGAGAAGAGAACAATCAAAGAGTACTTTTACAACCTTTCTCTCTAGTGAACGGTTTTTGATTAGTCCACCAACTCCCTCTCTCTGTCTCTCTCTTCTTACCAAACACCGCAGTCAGGCATGACGAAATACGGAGCGTGTACAACACTTGCCCTATATTTTTGGATTTTATTTTTATTTTTATTTTTTTGTAATTATTGAATTTTGGGGTTGCTTGAAAAGGTCCAATTTGTCACTATGGTCTAGGAAATTTTCAATTTTAATCAATTAAAAAAAAATTAACGAAAAAATGGTAAGCAGTAATTACTTCATTCCAATTTTTAATTTTTTACTTGAAGGGAAAGTTTAAAGATGACAATGATTTGAAAACTTTGCATTTAAATTAAAATAATCCAAAATAATTACATTTGTAGGAAATCCCTTATATTTTCAAGAAAATGCAACTATTTTTTCTTACAAAATTTTCAAATAAATTTATTACTTTTTTAAAAATAACAATCATATGTAATGGAGTATTATTTCTAGGGTTTTAAATATTTTATGAACCAAGTTTTGAGGAAAAATAATTTGTGATGGGCATAAAATTTGTAATCATACACACCGTATAGGCATATTTGTCTATTGAGATGAGATGAATGGTGAGATTGAATTACTAGTTAGATGAATGAACTATGTTATATTTGTTTTGAAAAATTGTTATGAAATTAAGAATACGATGAAATTACAAAACTCATTTAAGGAGGGAAATCATGGAAGACTTAGGTTTGCTAATCCAATGTCATGGTAAAAAGACTTTAGCCATGTTTGGTTTGATTTTTCGAAACTATTTCTAAAAAAAATAATGATAATTAATTTGACAAAAATAAATATAAAAAGATTCCTTTTAATTCTAATAATTATTTTGACTCTCGATAAAACTATATAAAAACAATAATATATATTTTTATCAAATTAATTTTGAATTTAAATATATATATATATATATAGCTTTAGTAGCTTTATAATATAATCTCTCTTTTTTTAAAATAAAAATAGCTTTATAATCTTTTTTTAAAAATTAAAAATGATTCTAAAGCTACTATAATCTTTAGCATTATAATAACTTTATAATATTTTTTTATTATAACAACTTTATAATTGAAAATTTATAGTAACTTTATAATAGAATCACATTTTATATAATAAGATTTTTTACATAATTTTATAAATTTAATCTCAACTCATTAATAATCCATTTATATTATATTTATGAAAATGTAGTCACGTGGTCCACACGGTGATCAAAGTATTGAGGTTAGTTTCAATGATAAATTGTTGAAAAATATTTGAAATTTCCTTTTAGAAAGACTCTCATCATTTTTACAGTGACGTGGATTAATGATGTGTTTGTATTATTTTTTTTTTTTCCTTTCTTACTTAGACTAATCACAAGTAAGTGAGAGTTGTAAAAGTGATATTTTGTAAGAGTCTGAATCATTACCGTAAATTGTTAACCGCTGGCTGACTTGTACATGACAATGGTATGAGCATCATACGACAAATTAACCAAGTTTAAAATTGGTCTTTCTGGTTTGTTCCAATTTAATATTATTATTTAAAAAATCTTTGATCAAAATGCGAATATCCGGATTAATAAAATAAATAATTAAACCATGGGTGGTAGAGGCTGCTTTTCAAGTTCACATTTAATACCTAACTATGATCAAAGCATGGGTGGTAGTTGTACTGACGCAATTTTCAACAGCCACAGCAGAAAGGTAGGGCTCAACAGCCACAGCAGAAATGAAGTTGGTTATTACAAGTCTAATTTATTAATTATAAATTATAAATAGGCCTTTAAACAAAATTAATTTATTTATAATTTTCTTAATTTTTATTTTTTTTTTTACGATTCTAATGATTTCTTAATGTAATTAAGTTAAATCTTTTAACAGAAAATTAGTTTCTCAAATGACATAAAACTATTTTAACAAAATAAGTTAATAATACCCTGTTTTGGATTAGCCAGTTTGAGAAAAGTTCAAAAAATAATTAAAAAGATTTATATAAAAAAAAAAAAAAACTTATCACTAAAAAATTAAAAATTAACAATTTCCAAAAACTCAAACCTTTTACAGAATAAAAAAATCAATGTCAAAATCCCCTAAATTTACTTTTAAGTCGCAGCCAATTTTAATCAATAACCTCACTTTTAAGACTGAAAATAGGTCGAACCGTTCACGAACAATTTTGGCTTGACTCGTTTATTAAACGAGCTGAACTCGAATTCGAAAAAATTCAACTTGTGTATGTTTATTTAAATTGTATAATAAATATATTATTTATATATTAAATAATATAATAAATATTTTTATTTAAATAATATAAACAATATTAAAAAAAATCTTATCGAGCTAAACCCGAGCCCAGTTATTTATTGAGCCAAGCTCGAGCTCAATAAACGAGCTCGATAAGCAAACAAGCCAAACTCGAACTAGGCAAAGCCCGGTTCGGCTCAACTCGTTTGTAACCCTACTCACTTTCTTAACGTTCCATTCTCACTTTGATGCATTTGGTGAACTTTAAAGACACTCTAAAAATTGTACAGAAAATGCCAATGGTGCACAATTGTGCAAACAGATAATCGGTTGAATAGCAGTTAAAATAGAAAATCGGTTGAAAGTAGTTACATAAAAACTTTTGACTCTCTGTCCTTACAGATTGTACCTTTTACTAATTACTATTGCTGTGTTTGAAATTCTGTTAGAAAAATGACCAGTTGGTTACAGGACTTTTCCCACAAAAACATATAGGCTGCAGCTGGTGAGGCCATCCTTACCATTTGGTAAGTAATATTTTGTATAATGAATACATTAACTCCGATATATTTATCTATCTCTCACATATGTGAAACCCGAGTGCACATGTACTAAAAAAGAATGGGACACCATTAATATAAAAACCGGACACAGATGTTCTCGGAGAGTTCAGATTTAATTCAGCAATTAATAGAGTACATGGTCAGATTGATGTCAATGTTCAGCCTCTTAACAGGTCCAGTGAGCGGTCCCCATTGGACGACTCAGCTTTCTCACCGGTGAAGGAAAATATTAATGACTGTTCAATGGATTAAAGATGCTAATGAATCATGACCAACCAAGAGATAAAATACACTCATTCAAGCCACGAAAACAAATACCGAAAGGAACCAAACATGTAGAAAGGAGATTGGAAATGAAACTCGTAGCAATATAACACAACTATTGGCATTAGTATCTGAAGGGTCGGTTCATTATTTCCTATCACATGTATAGTACGGATAACTTGAAAGGTCAATGTAAACAACGTAAGGATTGCCATGAGAAGAAACATCCTCGTGTTAGGCATTGAAGCTTTTTAGAATCAGAAGAGAGAAGTATATGCCAGTTCAACAAGGATCCAAAGATCCAAAAAGGAAATAGGAGCCCACATGTAGAGTCATATCACAGTCTCAGCCACTTTGGTTTCACAGCTTTTTTGTCAGTTGGCTTTTGCTCTGGGACAGCAGGGGAGGATGGACTAGCCATTGCAAGCTCTGGGGCAGCTTCAGCTGGCTCTGCCTGTTCAGGGATGAATTCCAAACCTTTCAGAGATAATACATCCTCTTGAAGGAATGGACCTGAGATTGTGGCACTTTCATCACCTGGAAAAAGAAAAAACGATACAAGATTAAATCTAGGGCATTGGCCACTGCGAGTAAAGCAAAAAATCAATGGAATAATAACACATGCCATGTTCACAAGGATATAATTGCTTCTTTTTTTTTGAAAATTAGAATCCACTCAGATATTCACCTCGAAGCCAAATTCTATCCACCCAGTCAAAAACTAACCATGTCGATATACCATAGTATCCACAATCCACAGAAGAGAAAAATATGCAAAACCTGAATTCCACCGTTAGAGATTCTATTTTGTACAAGAAATATTAGCCCAATTATGTTGGTTAAGCCATAAAGAGGAATTGCTTTTCACTTAATCTTCCACAAGTCAGACCAGGTTTCTACACGTTCCCTTCCATCAACAACATTCATTGGACCTGAGTTTTTTTTCTCATCAACTAACAAAATCATTATAACTAGCAAAACTAATATGGCTCTATCAAGGTCCATTTGTATTGTTTACCATGGATCTCCAAAATTCAAACCGTGTAAGTAAATTTTATTTTCAGCAACGGCTATAAAAAATAATTTTAAAACATCTTCCTTTTCATTGGATTTCTCTTCAAGACCATCTTGGTCTTTGGTTCCCTAAGAATTTACATTTGAAATCAATGTTTAAAAGAATAGAAAAGAAACAAATTAAACATCAAACCCCATATTGGCAGAAGTCTTGTGCACTGGGGGCCGCCCTTTTTATTATTTTAAAATATTGACTGAATGCGTAGTGATTTCAAATACATCAGCTTTAAAATGTTGGATATGTAAGACCAACAAATTAGCATGGTTAGCTGATCCTAACCCCACCACTATAATTAATTTAGGGAGCACAACAAATTCAAAGGAAGCACCTCAACAAGTAGGACCGTAGGACCAATCTTTTTTATTGACTTAAATTCACCAGATTTAAAACGAAGAATATCTAACAATCACCTACCCAAAAAAAAGATATCTAACAATCTGAGCTGACAATTAGAGTGGTTAGCTGATCCTAGCCCTCATTAGGATTAATTTTGGGAGCAAAATACAGTTCCTAAAAGCCTGAAAACTGCTAAAATAATAAACACAGCTTGTCATTCAGTAGAGAGCCATCCCATAATAAAGAATCTAACATAAAATGCAACACCACTTACATGTAAAACCCTAAGCAATTCAGTATCACATTGTTTTTTGCTTGATCTAAGAAGAGGGAGAAAGAATGTTCAGCACTAATTACAAATGAATATAATGCAATGGTTGTTTTCCAATCTCAAGTATCAGACAGATTAGAAAACATTCAATGAATTGACCATTTGATGTAAGTAAAAAGTGCTAAATATACTAATGGTATGCATCAGAGAAACTATTTGTACCTAACAGTCTTTCGTGAGAAATTGTGTATAATCACCCAATAGCCATACTATATGTGCTTGACAAAAGCTAAAACCATTTTCTTTCTCATGAAAAATTTTTGTGTTTGTGAAAAATATCCATACTGTACATACTTGACAAAAGCCAAAACCCTTTTCTTTCTCAAGAAAATGTTTGTGTTTGTGAAAAATATTTAACATTAATTATGAATCTATATACAGTGTCCTATGTACTAAACCAATCGGTGCATATTTTACAAACATGGTTCAAATGTCTAATGAAATTTTTGAGATTTCCAGCTCCAGAGGAACTCTACAAAACGAATTGTGACACACCCCAAAAATTTAGGGACTGGTTGACAGGTCCACATCCCTGATAAAATTGACCAAGGACCAGCTATTAAAGGGATATGCTGCAGTGGTAATCAAACATGCCACCATCACACATAATAAACCCTATTTAAAAGACAGGAAAGTAAATTGTGAAGCGGTTTTATCAAGGAGAAAAAAAAACCGAGGCCAATCCAGAACCAGGTCAAAGGCACAATTATTGTAAAGGTTGAAAGGAAAAGGGACAATTATAAAGCGAAAAAAATAAGAACAAACAAAATTTAAACTTACATACTAACCTTTCGGTAGGTCATAAGAAAAATACACAATTGCACCCGGAACAAAGCCAGCAGAGTGAAAATTCTGTGACATATCTTTTACTTGCTTCTTCGGAGGAGTAGTATCTAAAAAAATAGAGTATTTGACATGAGGCAGTAAGATAGTATAACCAATAATTTCTAAGAAGACTAAAATATATGTATAAAGAAACTATTTCAATACAAATGATACTTACATACATAAAATGGTAGTTCTGGTTGAGCAACCACTTTCTTTAGAAGATCAACTATGCTCTGGATTGCCTCTGCTGGATGAAATGTGGCCTCTAATGTGCAATTATCAGGGAAACGCACCCTAATCACAGCCTGCATAATGCAAAATAAGCAGATAAAAGTCCCTGTGATATAAAACCTCGTCAGATTTGCCTAAGAGCAGAATGTATAGCGATGAAGTCTACACTAGTTTTGTAACTAAAAAAACAGAAAAAAAGAAAAAAAAAAGAAAAGAAAAAGGAAGCCTAAATTAGTTTTAAATATATATATCACAAATGATCTAACACAAACCTTCGTTATCCTTGATCTGCGAGCAGCCTCTTCAGCTTCTCGGATTTTTCTTGTCTTCAAGAATTTATCTGCTCATAATTCCAGGTGATGCAATTAAAAGAACATAAGTATCCAACAGTAACAACCTCATGCATGGATATGTATGCTTAGGAACATATATACACAATAAGGCTTTATATACATTATGTATTTCCTATTTCTATACAGCAAGAGAGAGAAAATATAGTTCAGATAAGATGAATGTCCTTTATTTTTGCTGATATATGGTATAACCAAGAAGGTTGTGGGATAAGATTTCACAAACATTTTGTCCACAAAGATGAATAGATACTTTAAAGCAGAAAGAGGAGTCACATTTATCATCTTCCTCAGTCCTTCCCTTTTTTAATGAAGTCATGTTTGTCTATAGGAAGGTTTAGCTTTAGATATCCAATTCTTACCAAATCCTGCAACAGGAGTCATTTGCACAGTGCACTGCCAACACCCCCCACCCCACTTCATTGGAAACGATAACCTCTTCTTCTCAATCATTTGTTCTGATATATATACTATAGTCATCATATATATTACCTTCCTTTTTGGTAGCCATAATTCGGTAATAATCCTCCGCAGTGAAGTCATAGAAGTCATCTGGCTCCTCTGCCAACCAAAGTGAATCATGCATTTTAAGAGGGTACTCCAATACATATTCCAAATAATTAGAGTACTTCATAGGTAATGACGAACAATAATGGCATAAATGGTTTAGTGGTCATACCACTCATAGACACATTGATGGGTGTTGGAGAAGCATTTGGGGTTTCAAACACACGGATTTCTCGTCCAAATTTTTGTTTCGCAGCTTCAAGCTTCACCTGAAATCAATCACCTAAGAAAGGTTACCTGAACCAGCATATATCAGTAACCAAATAACATTAAGCCTACATCCGGTCTAACTAGGATAATTCACCCATTCCAAAGGTACATATTAGAAAAGCATTGACACTTCTAAGAAGGTGACATGTTTATGTCCAACACATGTCAGACATACATCCAAACATGTCCCACTATAAGCTCCGTTTGGGAAGATGGTTTATGGGTTTTTTTGGCTATTTTAGCCACAAAAGACAAAATAGGCTATTTTAGCTACAACAAACAAAACATCATATCTAATACATAATCATTACACTCTTCTCTCACAAAAAAAGTCAAAAAAGCCAAAAAGCCCTTCCCAAACCAAGCTTTTTAGCCCAAGCTAAAATAGTCAAAAAAATCAAAAAGCCAAAAAACCAACCCACTTCCCAAACGAAACTTATATATATATTTATTATTTTTAAAATTCAGACCCGGACACTCTTCAAGTACTTGGGGGACACGTGTGTCCATCACTTAGACATATACATCTGGAAAAAATAATAATAATAAACAAATAATGTCGCAATCAACCAATATTATAATGATTGTGCAATTGCATTACTTAATTCTGCTCTGTTATATTCAAAATCAACTTTCTTAGCAGCCAATGACATGTTTACTGCAAGGCTGCGTACATTGTTTACTCCGTAAAAGCCATGATTTGCAGCCTAAAGCATAAAAGGGACCAGGCAGACAGTTCATTCCCAAATGGTTAGCCCATCAATATTTGTGGGTATGTGCAACAATAAGGTTGCTACATTGCAACCTGGGCATCTTGGATTCATATCACGGAAACATCCTTTATAAGGCTACGTACATATGACATTCTCCGTACCCCACAGTGGTGTGTGAGCCTTACTGGGACTGCCATCTAGCTGAATTCCTAAAAGGGCTAACTACCAAGACATAATTACAACCACGACCGCTAACTTTTAGATGACGTATAACTAATCCTACAGCAACCAATATCACTATGACACTTAGGTCCCGTTTGTTTTGGGAGATAGAATGGAGGGGATTAATAGTGAGGGGATTGTTAGTGAGGGGATTGTTAGTGACGGGATTAATAATGAGGGGATTGATAATGAGGGGATTAATAATGAGGAATTGTTAAATTATTTTTATATAAAATAACAAAAAAAATAAAATTAAAAATTAAACATTATATTTAAAAAAAAAATCCCTATATATAAAAAATAAAAAAATTTCTAATCCCCTCACTATTTTCTAATACTATCTCTACCTCCTCCTTACCAATCTCCCTTCCAAGGGTATTAGTAATACCAAGGGACTAATAGTCTCAAGGCTATCTCTGCAAACAAACAAGGGCATTAGTAATACCTTGGTATTGCTAGTCCCAATATCCTCCCTATAGCCTAAAACAAGCGGAGCCTTAGGTAGTATTTGGTTAATTGAAATGAAACGGAATGGAGTGATCATTTCATCAAAATGCTCATTTCCATGCTCGGTTAACTAACAAAATAGTGATAAAATGCATTACAAACGGAATCATCATTCACCATTTCAAGGGAATGGTCATTCCATATGAGAGCCTAAGGAATGGTCATTCCATTCCATTCCAACTTATTCCAGTGAACTAAATGGAGCATTAGTGTCAACATGAGTGAAGTTCTTTATATCATTGTGAGAAGTTGTCTTTCTTGAACAGATCTAAGTATCTCCAATCTTGTGTAATATTAAAGTGATTGCAAATTTTCCTACTGAAAGACTAGACAGACCTCCAAACACTTACACATTACATTCATACTGTCCCCCAATATGGAACTTGAATTCTTGTTTCTTTCCTTCATCGATTCAATTCAATTACATAATCGATAAAGATGACTCAAGATAACTATATAGAATCACAATGCTATCAGTGAACCACTAAAGAACACCCTATTTACTCGAATTTCTTTCAAACCCAAACTTTTATTAAAGTTTATCAAACCAAGAAACATTCAAAACAAACAAACAACAAATTGGTTCAGCAAGAAAGGGGTACCGACCATACTCCAATAATCTATTAATAATCGGGCAAGACAAGTTAAAGAAACTTTGGGAAACCCCAATATTATGAAAAACCCAATTCGACCCATCATCATGAAAGCCAAGACATTCGTAGTGAAAAACAGTTTAAAGAATCGAGGGACAATAGAAGTGAGGAAGAAATCGAGTAAAGTAAAACCTTAGCTGATTCAGAGTCCATTGGATCCATCGTTATGAGCCTCCTCCTCTTTTGGGTTGATGGAGAATCAATTCTCATGAGCGAATAAAGCAATTCCAATCTCTCTCTCTCTCTCTCTCTCTCTCTCTTCGATTTATGTTCTCATTGTCCTCTTGTATATCTTTCCTGCTTCCGCCGCAGGACCGACTTTTGGCAAGTTTAGTCTCTTTTTTCATTTTATTTTTTTTAATGCGAAATCTATACTTATCTATACCTGGGCCTGGTTTGCGAACTGACTATTTTAGTAATTTTTTGACTTTTTATAAAAAAATATACAAAAAAATAGAGAAGTGATGTGATAATTTTTAGTAATTTTTAACTTTTTAGCTAAAATTGTCACTCCCCAAACGAGGCCTTACTATCTATGGTGTTGTTTGGTGTAACTGTTAAAACAGATTATACATTATAACTTAACAGGTTATAGATTATGCCTTTAATTAAAAGCTGTTAATCTGTTTGGTATAACTGTTGGATTATAGATTCAAGATACTGGGTAGTGTTTGTTAAATAAGTTATGAAGTAGCTTTTTCAATTAATTTTTATTTTTTTAATCACTATTTGTCTGCATTTCTCATAAAAAATAATAATAATATTTTATAGTCCATTTAGGTCTTTTTTTATTTTTAAAAAAATAAAAAAAATTAAGAGTATAACGTGAATTAATATATCTACAGCAGAAGCTAATAATCAGAAGCAGGAGGTGAGCAGCTTCTCAGAATCAGGGGGTGAGCAGCTTCTTAGAATCAGTTTTTTTGACTTAAAATAAGTTGTTAGAATCAGAAGCTGTTTGAAATAAGTTTAACCAAACAATCCAAAATAACTTTTTAAAAGCCAGAATCCATAAGTTGGCTAAAAAAAACCCCACCAAACACTCCCTATATATTAAGCAAAATGAAGTTTTTAACCCGCTTGTGGGAGCTCCAACCTTCTAATCCTAATTTTCTAAATTTTTGATTAAAAAAAAAAAAGCCTCTGCATTTATTGACTTCTCCCAACTCACAATCCCTTTTGACTTCTCTTATAATTATTACAACACCCTTTTCAATTTCTCTCATACACTATAGTTACACACAAAAAAAAAATTTAAAAAAATAAGAATTTAGCTATAGATCTCAAAAAGATATAACATCTAAATTTGAATTATGATTTAATAATAGGCTTGTGGGAGCTCCAATCTCCCAATCTTAATTTTCTAAATTTTTGATTAGAAAAAAAAAAAAAAAACTCAGCATTTATTGACTTCTCCCAACCCACAATCCCTTTTGACTTCTCTCGTAACTAGCATATCACCCGTGCTATGCACGGATTGTGTTTACAATTATCTATATATGTGAATTGTGATTTTTAAATATATATTTTTTTTAAATGTCTTTTTTTTTTTTCTTTTTTATATTATATGAAAGTTTAATATTTTGATAATAATCATATGTGTTGGACTTTTTAAGAAATTAAATGTTTTTTTATTATATTATATTAAAATTTAATATTTTGATAATAATCATATGTGTTGGGTTTTCAAGAAATTTTTTTTTTATGCTTGTTCTTAATGTATTAAAGTGTTATTATGAGATATAATAATCATATGTGTTGAAACTTTTCAATGAATTCATATGTGTTTGATTTTAAAATTTTTTTTTTATACTTGTTCTTAATGCATTAAAGTGTTATTATGAGCGTAACACTTGGGAGTTTTGAGAAGTTAATAAATTTTAAGATTTAAAAAAAAAAAAACAAAAATCAGGAAATTTAGATTGGGAGATTGGAGCTCCCACAAGGCTTGGGGTTCAAAACCTCCATTTGCTTAATATATAGTAAGTATAGATTATTGCAACACCCTTTTCAATTTCTCTCGTATACTATGGTTACACACAAAAATAAAAATAAAAAAGATAAGAATTTAGTTATAGATCTCAAAAAGATATAACATCTAAATTTGAATTATGATTTAATAATATAATTATGTATTTTTATTATGATAATTATCAAAATTTTAATCATACTTAATGAGACAAATTAATCAATTTTCAAATTATTGATTTTTAATTACAAAATGATTAACAAAAACTATTGACTGATTTATTTATTTAATAAAAAAATTTTCATAATCTCTCCTCCTAATCTGCTCATAAATTTTCAAAAAAAAAATATTAAAACTTGCATTCTTTTTCTCTTCCAAAAAATTAAATAATATTTTTTTTATTAAATTGTAGATATTCTATATTTTATATATTATATTATAAAATAACAAAAAAACTAAAAAACTAAAAAAAAAAATCTTAGTTTATCTAATAAACTTTAAATATAATAAAACTGCACGTATCTATCATATATCTAGCTCACATATAATTTACCTAAATAATAATATTAAAAACAATGAACCAAGTATATTAAAATTTGAAAAAAAAAGATACCCACAACTCCATCTTAAATAAATTGCAAAAAAAATACCCGAATAGAAACACAATAAAATAAAATAATAACATAAAAATAAAAGATAGATATATCTATCTATCTATATACTTATATTATATATTAGAGACAAATGGGGTTTTTAAACCTAAGGCCTGTGGGAGCTCCAATCTCCTAACCTAATTTTTAATTTTTTGATTTTAAAAAAAAAAAAAACTCAGCATTTATTGACTTCTCCCAACCCAACTCAGCATTTATTGACTTTCTCTCAAACCCACAATCTTTTGACTTCTCTCATAATTATTGCATATCCTTTTCAATTTTTCCATACTATAGTTACAAATAAAAAATTCTTTTTAAAAAATAATAATATTAGTTATAGATCTGAAAGATATAACATTAAATTAAATTATGATTTAATATATAAATTATGTATTTTTTAATATGTATATCTATCAAAATTTTAAATCACTTAATGGGACAATTAATTAATTTTCCAAAATTATTGATTTTAATTTACGCAAAATAGATTAAAAAAATTATTGACTGATTTATTTATTTAATTTCAAAATAATTAAAAAACTATTGTCTGATTGATTTATTAATAACAAAAATATTCATAATCTCTCCCTCCTAATCTCTCTCACATTTTCAAAAAAAAAATAAAACTTGAATTCTTTTTCTCTTCCCAAAAAATCAGAATAATATTTTTTTATTAAAGTTGTAGATTCTACCTATATTTTATATATTATATTATAACATAAAAAAAAAACTAAAAAAAAAAATCTTTAAAGTTTATCTAAATAAACTTTAAATCTTATCTGAATAAACTTTAATCAATAAAACTCAATGCCACAATATTAACTCAAATCACATAATCTTACCTAAATAATAATAATTAAAAAACAAATGGAAACCAAGATAAATTAAATTTAAAAAAAAGTACCCAACTCTATCTTAAATAAATTGAAAAAAAAATACGGAATAAAACCAACAAATAAAAATAAATATAAGAGATATATCTATCTATCTATATCTTACTATATATTAAGCAAATGAGTTTTAACTCCCAAAGCTTGTGGGAGCGTCCATATTGCCAATTCTAATTTCTAATTTTTTGTTTTTTTTTTTTTAAAAATAAACATCAGCATTTATTAATTTCTCTCACCACAAGATTTTTTGACTTCTCTCATAATTATTGCAGTACATTTTCCAAAACAAATAATTTGTGTATTAAAAAAAAAATTAAAAACAAATTAAATATCTTATATCAATATCTATCTATTTATTTATATCTATCTCTAACCCAAGTTTTGTGGAGTTTTCAATATCTAAACTTAATTACTAAATTTTTTTGTTTTTTTGAAAAAAAAAAATTTGCATTTATTAAATTCTTCAAGTCTTTTTAATTTTTTCAATCACAACACTCTTTTTAACTTTTCACATACCTATTGCAAATAGTGAGTCTCTTTTTGTTTTCTCATTTTTTACTTCTCACTTCTACACTTTCAACTTCAGTAACGACGTATGCAAACAGTAAGTCGTTTTTGTTTTTTCTTTCTTGATTTTTCTTTTTGTTTAACTGTTTAATTATTGTAGTTTAGTGCGCATAAAAATGATTTGTGATTTGTCTTAGCGAATAAAAATGTATAAATTTGATTTTTTAATTATGATTGAAGTTGATATAATATTAAATCTTCACAAGAGAAAAATGTGATTGATAATTAGTCTGAGGATGATTCTTTTTTTTTAATGTGATTGTAATTAAGTTTTAATAGTTCTTTTTTTGTTCATTATTTTTATTTTATTATGGGAAAAGATGTGATGTGATTGTAGTTTGTTCATGGCTTCTTTTTTTTAAATGATTGTTGTAGTCAGTTAAATGGGTTTATTTTTTAATGTTATGTAGATTCTTTTATTTACTAAGTTTAATTTTTATTTTAATATGATTGGAAGTTAGAATAAACCATAATGACTCACAGAAAAAATGTGATTGTAATGGATGTGATTGTATTTGTTTCAATGGCTCTTTTTTTTTAATATGTATTTTGTAGGTTAAGTTCAATGGTTTTTTTTTATTATTTATCTTTTTATTTACTATTTTAATTTTATTTTTAATATGATTGAAGTTTTAGAAAATAACACTCCAAAGAAAAAAATGGATTGGTAGTTAATTACATGGTTTTTTTTTAATGTGATTCAACGGTTAGTCATGGTTCTTTATTTATTTATTTATTTAATTTATTTATTGAGAAATGTTGATGACGATTGTAAGTTTGTTCACTGGTTCTTCTTTTTTTAATGTGATTTAATCTTTTAATTTACTGTTTTAATGAGTTTTTTTTTTAATTATTTATGAAAAAAATATGATTGTATTGATAGCATAAAAATATTTGTGATTTGATTTGATTTGATTTTTTTTTTATTTGGTTTTTTAAAAAGTACAATTATTTGATAATGAATTTATATTGTATTTTGAAAAAAATTGTAATTATATTTTTTAACTTTGTGTTTTGTTGAAAAAAAAAAATTGTAAGTGATTGTTAGTTGTTACAATTGGCTCTAAATAATCTCAATTTGAATTTCTAAATTTTTTATTAAAAAAAAAAACTCAGCATTTATTGATTTGGTCAAAATTCCCTGATCAACATTTATTAACTTTTTTCAATCTACATGTCTTTTCACATGCCTGCATTTATTGATTTGGTCAAAATCCCTTGATCAGCATTTAAAATCCTATCATACAAAAAATTATAGA